ACAACTCACTGGAGTTTCAAAACTTCCTGACTGAAATGGGAATCACACACGAGGTTACACCGCCTCACACACCGCAACATAACGGAACCGCTGAGAGGAGAAATAGAACTCTCCTCAACATGGCCCGATGTATGCTCAAAAGTAAAAACGTGCCTATGTATATGTGGGGAGAAGCAATTGCAACAACAACCTATATTCTAAATCGCACACCTACGAAGAGGTTGGAGGGAGTTACACCAAAAGAAGCATGGTCAAAACAGAAGCCAGATGTCAAGCATCTGTGAGTTTTTGGTTCCCTGTGTTTCCATAGAGTGCCCGAAGTGCAGCGAACCAAATTAAACGACAAAAGAAAGCCTATGGTGATGATTGGTTATCACACCACTGGAGGGTATAAGCTGTTTAACCCCGAAACCAAGAGTGTAACTATCAGCAGAAATGTAGTTTTTGATGAAGCCTCTGGTTGGGAATGAGAGACAAATAAGGTGAATAAGGCAGCAGAGGTGGTCCCAATTATTGCGCTAGAACCTGATGATGCAGCAGATTCTGGTGAGATTGAACCCAAAGAAGATGTTCAGCAGCTTCGAAGATCCCAGCGTCAAGGACAACAACCAACTTGCTTCAGAGATTATGAGATGTTTGGTGTTGTTACTGAAGAAGGAAACCCAGTGCATTTTGCATTGGCAGCAGAGGCGGAGCCTGTGGAATTTGAGGATGCTATGCGTGATGAGAAATGGAGAAAAGCGATGTGTGAGGAGATAAAGTCCATTGAACGTAATGGAACATGGAAATTGGTTAATCTTCCACCGCATAAAAGGCCCATAGCACTGAAGTGGGTATTTAAGGTGAAAGTAAATCCAAGGGAGAGGTGATAAGGCATAAAGCCAGGTTAGTGGCTAAAGGATATTTGCAAAAGACTGGGACTGACTTTGGAGAAATATATGCACCCGTTGCTAGACTTGATTCAATCCGAGTAATTATCGCTATTGCAACAATAAACAAGTGGAGAATGCATCAGCTAGATGTAAAAACAGCTTTTCTAAATGGGTTGCTTGAAGAGGAGGTATACATAACTCAACTGCCAGGATTTGAGGTTAAGGATGATAAACTGAAAGTTTACAAGTTAATCAAAGCTCTTTATGGCTTGAAGCAAGCCCCACGTGCTTGGAACAAAAGAATTGATCAGTTTATGCATCAGATTGGCTTTGAAAGATGCACCACGGAGCAAGGCTTATACGTGAAGTATTGGATCAGCAATGGTCAAGAAGAAAAATTACTTGTATGCCTATACGTAGATGACATGCTTGTCACAGGAAGTAAAGCGGAATATATCAATCAGTTCAAACATCAGATGACCACTGAGTTTGAAATGAGTGACTTGGGGGAACTCAATTATTTTTTGGGGATTGAATTCATGCAGACAGATCATGGAATGTTAATGCACCAGGCAAAATATGCGAAAGACCTGTTGAGCAGGTTCAAGCTTCAAGACTGCAACATAGCAGCTACACCGATGGAAACAGGGTTGAAGTTGGGAAAGAATGAAGATGAGGAACCTGTGGATGAATCAGAATTCAGGAAAATGGTTGGGTGCTTGAGGTATTTGTGTTGTACAAGACCTGACCTAAGTTTTGCAGTTGGAATAGTGAGTAGATTCATGCAGGAACCTAAACAAACCCACATGAATGCTGTGAAACGTATCATGCGTTATGTGCAAGGGACAAAGAATCTTGGCTTGCTGTTTACAAATAAAGGGTGTGAAGGAAGTGTTGAACTGAAGGGGTACGCAGATGCTGATTAGTGCGGAGATCAGATTGATAGGAAGTCCACTGCTGGATACATATTTTTCCTCTGCGGGTCACCTGTCTCATGGCATTCCGTGAAAGAACCTGTTGTAGCTCTTTTCTCCTGTGAAGCAAAGTACATTTCTGCTTCTCAAGCTGCGTGCCAAGCTGCTTGGTTAGCAATGCTCTTAGAAGAGTTAAAAGTGAAGATGAATTACTGTCCAAAATTAATGGTGGACAATAAATCTGCTATAGACTTAGCAAAACATCCTGCTGCTCATGGTAGGAGCAAACAAATTGAAACCAGGTTCCATTTTTTGAGGGAGCAAGTCAATCAAGAGAAGCTTGAAGTCGCTTGCTGTAAATCTGAGGTTCAGTTGACAGATATCTTTACCAAAGCATTAAAAGGGGAGAGGTTTAGGTATCTGAGACAATCTATTGGAGTTGTAAAACCTATTTGACTTAAGGGGGTGTGTTAGAAATAAGTCAAAAAAACTGAAAACAGTTAATACTGTTTTACGTTGCTTTCATTTTTCTGTTTTTGTACTGTGTATAAATACGTTCTTCCATCTTTTACATAAAGTACGTGGGTTTCCATTTATTCTTCTGCATGCATGCATAGTTTCTATAATATCAGATGAATGACTTATAATATTAAATGCAATAATTTTAAATTAGGATTTGATAGAACAATGCAAGCATAAGTTTCAAAAGACAAAATCATTAGCCAGAAAAAAGAAATCAATGATATAATGGAGTGTGTGGGGGGATACGAGTGCAAGCACAAAGCCTTTGTGAATAATTAAAACAAAGCAACAAAACAAGATACATAGAGAGAAGTGAGTAATTAACACTGTAAACGCGAGTACACTATAGTAAAGATAACAAAAGCATGTGATGTTTCAAAAGAATTAAAACAAAGTATGAACCAATGAAACACGATACAACAAGTGGTATCATAGCATATCACAGTATTATAAAATATGTAATGTCTTACATTACATTAATTTTTCTGAAAACTGCTACAGATTGTCAAGTTATTGATCCGCGACACGATTATTTCTTTTATTTACAAAGAGAGAGGAGCAAACAAAAGCCTCAGAAGTAGGGAAATGGATCATTTATGATTACTGGCAAAGTGTTAGAAATAGATATGGAGTCCAATATGAGAGAGTAGCAATCTAGATTCAGTTCACTGGTTTTGTTCTGTCATTGGAGTACGATCCAAAGGCCAAAAATAGTTACACTTGTAAGGTACTTGTGGACTCATCAATCACCTTGCAGGAGCGTTTTGGGAATTAATGCATTAAAGCAGTTGCTTAATTTGAAACGTTAGAGGAAGCAGGTTTGCGTGTGGACTCAAGAATCTATGCAGTTTCGGTTTTTGGCAATTTTTAGGGCAAAAGAAAATGGTGTCTCCACTGCATTCATCATTCAGAGTTGTCTTTTGCAGTAAATAACAAAACCTGCTTTGCTGCATGGGCGGTATGGCAAAGTAAATGCACGTTCCGGTCACGGGTCCACTCTTTGGAACCATGGTTTCTCATCATATTCATGAAGGAGTTTTTTTAGTAAGAGTTTTGTTAAATAAATATGAATATTTTATTATAAATTTTATATAATAGTTTAAAATTTAGATAGAATTGTTTATATAAATATTTTTTTAATTCTAAGTAATTTTTTTTTTAAATTTGAACCACTTAAACATTAAATTTATAATAAAATATTTATTTTTATTCTCAAACAATTCTTACCTAAAAATCCTCTTATAATACAGGTTTAGTATCTTAAGTATCTATTTTTTTAACAAACGTTTTTAATCTTAGTTTAATGAATTTTCGAGGAGTCTAGCAAGATCATATTTACCATTATCTCTTATGAGTAGCTAGTTGTTAGTGTAAATAGCAATACACAGAATTTAATTTTATATTTTCATTTAGAAAAATATTTATCACACTAAAAATATTAAAGTTGATTTATACCATATTTAACATTGCTTTTATTTATTTATTTATTAAAATTAATGAATTTATGAGTCTTTTTCTTTTTTCAATGGGACTCAAACCTTAATATTGTGAACTTAAATAAATTTTCATCAAAATATGTTTATTTTGTTTAATAATACATAAATTAAAGAATGTTACTATAATACTTTTTCTTTTTATAAAAATTTAACTTCTTAATACCAATTTTATTATATTAATTCGCTCAATTATAATGTGTGAATAAATTATATTTAAAGATTGGGTAATTTAAAATTGATATAGGTGAGTAAATATTTTTTATTCATGGAAAAATTAAGAAAAGGACAAAATAACAAAACCTAAGTTTAAAAGAATTTGTTATAATTAATTAAAGTTCATAATAAATATTATATTTTGAATTTCCATTGTATAATGTATACTTTGATATAAATTTATCTTAAAAAATTTTAAAATTTTTAAAATTGAATTTTGATATAATTTTTTTTATTTATAACTTTCTTAAAAATGATTGAAATTAATTTTGAAAAAAAATGAAAGAAGATAACTTGAAAGAGATAAGTAGTAAAAAAATAAAGTCTTCAAGTAAAAAATAAACAGACGGAAACATGAGATGATTAGAGAAAATGAAAAGGAATTACAGTGAAAAATGTGAAAAAACCATTGAAGAAAATAACTAAATATGTTTCAGTAAAATAAAACTTTTCTAAATAGTATTAGTATATTCTGTTCAAACACATAATTATAGGTTAAGATAAAATGCAGTGTCTTGTTATGTATTGGTTGGGTTAAGTGTTTCACATACATCTTTATCTTATACATCAGTGTATTAAAACTGCAGCAAATTTTGAAAGGAAACAAGTAATAAAATTATGATAGAAAACTAGCTGGCTGGAGCAGGCATCTTTACTTCACCACTTTTCAGTACAAGCAAGTTGATAAACGTACAATAATTGCTGTGTTTCAACTTCAGAGCCAACCTTTTCTGGCCATTGAAAATGGAGAAGGAATTATTGAGCTGGAGATGAAGAACAACTCTTGGGTTCTTAACTCTCTGATAAGACTGAATTAATACACACTATTGCTCCAACTACCAGTGAAAAGAAAGGTCCTACTCCTCTCTTCTCCCCTCTTATATATAGAGGATTTTCCCACTATTTTTCTCATACTTCCTTTATCAAACATATCTCATCTCAATAGATCTGTTCTAGTTTGCTACTGCAAGATGGGTTTGAAAATGGGAATCCTGATGCTTGGCCTGTTGGCCATGTTCCTTTTGGTCTCCTCAGACGTGGCATCTACCAATGCAAAAGAGGGTAAGAGCTATTGTACTTCCACTGAATTATTTTGTTAAAAAACATTTTTATTTCTTAATTCATACCCTAAATATTTATTAGTGAAATCTTTAAATTAAAAATGACTATACAGCAAGAGTTAATATATATCATTTAAAATATATTGACACTTCACTCTCAACTAACAATTATTTAATTACTTAATTTTATTGATATAATAATAATATATTAATAAAATCAAGTTGGGAAAGGGCTATAGTTGGAATTAAGTTGCAATATTCATCATTTTGGTATCATTTAATATTCTCACACTTTAATTTTTTTCCTTCACCTTTTATATATGTATATATATATATATATATATATATATATATATATATATATATATATATATATAATTTTTTTATCTGTTTTTTTTTCTCACCATTACTTTCATTTATTAATTTTCTATCATTATCTTTCAACAAAAAACAAATGCGCCATTCTAAATTGTTATAAATCAAATTTAATTAATTATTTTATATAAGTTTAAAAAGTCGATTAAAAATAGATTATTTGAAACTATCAACTATCAACAAATACTGATTTTGGAGCATGTTTTAACTTAATGGTGTCCAAAAGTAATTTTTCCTTTGATAAATAGTTCACTAACTCTTTTTGTGGTTGTTAAAGTGAAAAATGTAGTGGGTGATGCCAAATATCCTGGTGGAGGCTATGGAGGGGGGTACCCTGGCTATGGCGGTGGCTATCCTGGCCGTGGTGGGGGATACCCAGGTCGGGGTGGTGGATACCCTGGTGGTGGCTATCCTGGCCGTGGTGGTGGATACCCAGGTCGGGGTGGAGGATACCCTGGTGGTGGCTACCCTGGTGGTGGTGGCTATCCTGGTGGTGGTGGTGGTTACCCTGGTCGTGGCGGGGGAGGAGGAAGGAATTGTCGCTATGGCTGTTGTGGTGGCCGGACATACAATGGAGATTGCAGAAGGTGCTGCTAAGCCTCATAGTTGAGACAATGCACTTCTGCGTAGTACTTAAAGATATTTCATGAATAAAGTATCGTGTCCGAGAGAAATGGATTTGCATGACCTTTCTCACCTTCAGAAATATGTCGCAAACTATAGTGTTGAATGTATACTAGTATATAAAATAATGTGGTGAATGAATATCATCTATTGTATTCCACTTTGTTGATTTTTATCGTTACTAAATATCATCATCGTTATATCATCCACTATTTTTAAATTTGTTCTTCCACAATTATTAGTTACACGTGTAACTTTTTCATTTGTTAGTATTGTTTTATGGAGGTTTGACTAACTGCATATTTGACTTTTTTCCTTTTTATTTTTAACCTTTTTTTCTTTCTCAAACATATTGGATTTTCCTTTTGTATTCGATCAGTATACGAATTAGATCAGTTTTTTCTTCTCTGCTATTTTCTCCCAAATTCTCAATGGGATCCATGTTTTTACGTTATGGTATCAGAACGGGTTAACACCCGCTCTGCCTCCGCTGCATCCTTTCTGTTTCTCTTTTCTATATATCTTTCTCTGTTTCTTGATGGCTTCTGTCAATTCTTCAACTGCTAATAGCAATACAGAAACACAAACTGTGATTGACGAATCTTTGAATCCTTCAAGCCCGTATTATTTGCACCCAGGTGAGAATCCTGGAATGATTCTTGTTTCAAAGCAATTGAATGGTACAAATTACCATTCTTGGAGTAGGAGTATGCGCAGAGCTGTTCTTTCAAAAAAACAAATTAAAATTCATCACTGGAGCCATCAAGATTCCCCAAGAAGACGATCCTCTTCATGACTCATGGGAGAGATGCAATGTCATGGTACTCTCTTGGATAACTCGAACTTTAAGTGATCAAATTGCTCAAAGTACTGTATATATTGATAATGCAAGAGATCTTTGGGAAGATCTCAAGGAACGATTCTCAAAAGGAGACCATTTTAGGACTTCTGATCTGCTACAGGAATTGCACTCCATTAAGCAAGGAGAAAGAAGCGTTTCTGAATTCCATACAGATTTCAAAATTCTTTGGGAAGAGTTGGAATCTTTGCGTCCCATTCCTAGTTGTACATGCAATCTGCAATGTTCTTGTGAAGCCTTCAAAATCATTGCTCGTTATCGTGAATCCGAACATGTAATATGTTTTCTGAAGGGATTAAATGATGTCTTCACCACTGCAAAATCTCAAATTCTTTTAATGGAGCCTCTCCCAGGAATCGATCGTGTTTTTCGTTAATTCCGCAACAAGAACGACAATTGGCGGGAGTGAGTCACGTTGATGCCAAAACTCTTTTGACAGACTGCTAATCAAGGACCTATTGTGAATTTTAACAATCAAGGAAATTGGAAAACTCAAGGACGTGGATCTTGGAAGAACCAAGGACGTGGACGTGGGAGGAATTCCAACTATGGTAAACAGTGTACTTTTTGCAATAAATTGCACCATACTATTGATGAATGTTATGCCAAACACGGATTCCCTCCATGGTTTAAAAATAACAGAAATGATTCTGTTGTCAACACTATTATGACTGACAACGTTTTGAAAGAAGAAGAATAAAAAAATCAAGTGCACATTGTTCAGAATAGTCAGCTGACACGTGAACAAGTTCAACAACTATTAAAACTTCTGCAAGAAAAGAATCAAGACACTACTCATAGGGTCAATTAGTTTAAAAATAATAATGGTGATCAACAAGACTCCAAAGGTATTCTCTGTTCATCTTGGATTATAGACACTCGAGGCTACTGATCATGTAGCTTACAATAAAAATCATTTTTTAACTTTTACTAAAATCGACACTGTGCATGTGAAATCACCTAATGGTAATCATGTCACTCGCTGAATATGCTTGCACGATTTGTATTTCAAATAGCCTTACACTCTATAATGTTCTTCATATTCCCAATTTTGAATTTAATATAATTTACGCTCAAAAGCTGATTATTGATTCCAATTGTAAATTGATTTTTTCTTCTAACCATTGCCAGATTCGGGATGTTCTTACATTGAAGATGATTGGGCATGCTTGATCTGAAAGATGACTTGTATTGTTTACAAAAACAAGATACTGTTTTTTCTTGGTCTCATATTAATAACATCAGTAATAATAGTTCAATTGTGTCTACTGATGACAACACCAGTATTAATACTCGCAGCAGAAATTATTCCACTTCCAATCTTTGGCACAACAGATTGGGACATCCTTCTAGCAAGATAATTGAAAATATGATTAAAGATTTTCCTTACATTCATAATAGCACTGAAAAAATTTGTGATGTATGTCATTCGGCCAAGCAACATAAACTTCCCTTTAATAACGAGTATTCATGTTTCCAGTACAATTTTTGAAATGATTCATATAGATATATGGGGTCCCATTGGTATTTCTTCTATACATGGTCATAGATATTTTCTTACTATTGTTGATGATTTCTCTAGACACACATGGCTTTTTCTTATGAAGAATAAACATGAGACTAGGAGTCTATTGAACAATTTTATTATCCTTGTTAAAAATCAATTTGGCTGTAATATTAAAATTTTCAGAACTGACAATGGGAAAGAGTTTTCTTATCCTGAATTCTATGATAAAAATGGTATTATTCATCAAACTTCTTGTGTAGAGACACCTCAACAAAATGGAAGGGTAGAGAGGAAACATCAACACATAATGAATGTCACACGTAGCTTGTTATTTCAAGCCAATCTTCCAAAATGTTTTTGGTCCTATGCTGTTGTTCATGCTATCTACCTAATCAACAGGCTGCCAAGTAAAACCATAAGGAACCAATTTCCATTGCAATTCCTTAAGTACTGATAGCTCCAACAATTCATATTCTTATTGCAATCCTTCAAGAGATGACAACACCAACAAATCTAAAAATTATTTCTTATCCTCTATCTTCTGTTCTCTCTTATAAAAAAATATCTTCAAAACATTTGAAATACATTCTTGCTATTTCTAACAATTTTGAACCTACTACTTATAAACAAGCAGCTTGTTACCCTGAATGGATTGATGCTATGCGTAAAGAAATAAAAGCCTTAGAAGAAAATAAGACTTGGTATTTCACTAATCTTCCCCCTGGAAAGAGAACTATAGGTTGTAAATGGGTTTATAAAACCAAATATAAAGCTGATGGTTCTATTGAAAGACATAAGGCTAGACTAGTGGCTAAGGGTTTCACTCAATTAGAAGGAGTATATTTCTTAGACACTTTTTCTCCTGTTGTTAAAATTACCACTGTTAGAGTCATGCTTGCTATTGCAGCTATTAAGAATTGACATCTTGTTCAACTAGATGTCAATAATGCCTTCCTTCATGGAGACCTCAATGAGGAAGTGTACATGGATCCCCCCCCCCTGGCGTGATACCTCCTCAAGCAAATCAGGTCTGCCGCTTAACCAAATTCCTCTATGGATTAAAACAGGCTAGTAGGCAGTGGTTTGCCAAATTATCTACTTCTCTTCTTTCAATTGGTTTTATACAATCTCAATCTGATCATTCTCTTTTTACAAAGAAAAATGTTTCTTCCTTCACTGCTTTACTCATTTATGTAGATGATATAATTCTTGGAGGTGATTCAATTGATGAAATCAACACCGTCAAGCAATTTCTTAATCAACAATTTCAGATTAAAGATTTGGGACAACTGAAATATTTCCTTGGCCTAGAAGTTGTTCGTACTACACAAGGCATTCACATTTGTCAACGCAAATACACTCTTGATATCCTTGCTGACAATGGTCATCTAGCTGCTCGACCATGTTCTACTCCTATTATCAAGGACACCAAATTGTTTTTCGATGATAATGTTGATCTTTGTGATGCATATGCTTATCGCCGCCTTATTGGATGACTTTTGTATCTTACAAATATGCGACCAGATATAAGTTTCGCTGTTAATTTTCTAAGTCAGTTTAATCAAAAGCCCACTGTCTTCCATCAAGCTGCTGCCAATCGTATACTTCGTTATTTGAAAGCTAATCCTGGTCAAGGTTTGTTTTTCTCTTCCAATTCCAACATTCAATTGAAAGGATTTAGTGATTCAGATTGAGCTTCATGTTTGACAACTCATCGCTCTACCACTGGATTCTGTATCTTTTTGGGTAATTCGTTGATTTCTTGGCGATCAAAAAAACAACACACTGTTTCTCGTTCCTCAACAGAAGTAGAATACAGGGCTCTTGCTATCACCAGCTGCGAGCTTCAATGACTCAATTACTTGCTTCATGATTTCAACATCTTCAAGCCCAATCAGGTTGTCATCTATTGTGATAACCAAGCTGCTCGTCACATTGCTACTCATTCTAGCTTTCATGAACGCACCAAACACATTGACATTGATTGTCATGTGGTCAGAGATCGTGTGCAGGCCAACCTCTTCCATCTTCTTCCCATTTCCTCTACAAATCAACTTGCAGATGTTTTCACCAAAGCTCTCGATCCTTCACCTTTTCTTAACAATATTTCCAAGCTGGGTGTTCTTAATATTTACTCTCCAGCTTGAGGGGAGGCTATTAGTTACACGTGTACCTTTTCCATTTGTTAGTATTGTTTTATGCAGGTTTGACTAACTGCATATTTGACTTTTTTCCTTTTTATATTTAACCTTCTTTTCTTCCTCAAACATATTGGATTTTCCTTTTGTATTCAATCAGTATACGAATTAGATCAGTTTTTTATTCTCTGCTATTTTCTCTCAAATTCTCAATGCGATCCATGTTTTTACGTTAATTATAATAATGTCCTTATAGCTATACGTCCTCCAATTTTCGAAATTTATAATTTAAACGAACGTCCCATGAACTTGGTGTATTTTGAGCCATAAGATTTTGCCATATTGGACACCATAGCCACCAGGACCTTACTTCCTAAGAGAAGATAAATTGAAAAACATTCATGGAAATTAGTCAACTAAGCTGAAAACTAATCATAAAAACTGATGCAACTACTGGTCTCTAAAACTTTTTCATAATAATATTAGACATAGATATATAGGTATCTTTAAATTATAATTTAATTATTGAGGACTCTGAAATCTCTTCGTTATGCTAATAAAAGTTTACCTCTTGGTCAAATTTTCTATAATATTAAAACTGAAGTGGATTTATCTGGGGTAAATGGATTATTTTCCATGGATGACTTCACATTCTTATTTTTTTATTTGTGTATTCCATTTTGAGTCATCCTCTACCTGCTCCTTGGATTTCTTGAAGTGAACTGGCATTGGATTGTATTAAATGTAAATCAGATGATACTGTTCATGACAACTCTGGTCATGATCAGTTCTCATGGTAACAAAGAAAACTTTCTTATTGGCTTCTCGGTATATATTGACATTTAATAGCTCTCACGACATAAAAATCTTAATTATTATGTTTGGAATGTGATTCAAAATTAGCTTCACTTGAGATAATAATACTGTATCTTTACAGGTGGATTAGATAATATAATAATACGTGAGATTTGTACTTATATATATATATATATATATATATATATATATATATATATATATATATATATATATATATATATAACTGATTATAATTTATGGAATTGAAAAATATGTTTTAAAATAAGACATTATTAATTGACAAATGTTCAAATAATTTAGATAATTCAAACAGTTAAATAATAATTTATAATAGTTTAGTATGATTTTGTTTACTTAAATAATAATGTAATTCATTTAATTTAAATAATTAAATTTTTTTATCAAACTATTTTTAAAGTCAAATGTAGTTTTATAATAGTTGAATTCATTTAATGTATTTTACTCACCCCTACCTCCACCCATACCACTCTATACCCCACGCAAGTATGCATACATGCAAAATTTTCTATCTTAGAGGATTTGTGAATATATATAATTAAAATTATTTTATACTTTATGCTCAATATAATATTACTATGATAGCAAAGTAGCATGGCTGCTGCAGGCGTCTTTACTTGACCACTTATCAGTGCAGAGCACGTTGATACACGTACAATAATTGCTCTGCTTCAAAATGGAGAAGGAGGTTGAACTGAAGATCAAGAAAAACTCTTGGATTCTTAACTCTCTGGATAAGATTGCATTAATAAACATCAACTACCAAGTTAAAAGAACAGTGTCCACTTTTCTTCCTCCACTCTTATATATAGAGGATGTTTTCCACTAGTTTTCTCATCCTTCTTTACCAAACATATATATCTCCTTTGAGTAGATCTGTTACTGAAAGATGAGTTTGAAGATGACAATACTGATCCTTGGCCTGTTGGCCATGCTCCTTTTGGCCTCCTCAGAGGTGGCCTCCTCCAATGCCAAAGAGGGTAAGCTATAATACATCATCCCTTATACTCTTATGAGTGTTTTTTCAAATAAAAGATACTGACAAAAATGTTCACAAGACATTAGGTTTCTTTGGATTATACGTGTTGTTATCATTTAACACTTTTACACTTCAATTACTATATTCACCTGATATCGTTTTTAATCTTGGATTTATCATTTTTTTTCCCTCTCTATATACATTCTTGATCCAAAAGTAGCATAGTCCTGGACAACTTTCACGTGATATATATTGCAAATTAAAAAATAGTTACAAATCACGTAAAAAGGAGTAGGAAGATAAACATAGTGATCTTAAACTCTGTAATACATTTCTACTTAATGATGTAAACAGTATTTGTTTTAGTGACAAATGGAGTTGGTGATGCCAAATATCCGGGTGGAGGCAATGGTGGTGGCTATCCAGGAAACGGTGGTGGATATCCTGGGCATGGTGGTGGCTATCCTGGACATGGTGGTGGATATCCTGGTCATGGTGGTGGCCACCACTGTAGGTATGGCTGTTGCGGTGGCCGGACATACAACGGAGATTGCAGAAGGTGCTGCTATTACGCTGGTGAAGCTGTTGCTGCACAAACTCAGGATAAAAATCATAATTGAGACAACTCAAATCTAAGTACTTAAGATATTTCCTGAATAAAATTTCGTGTCTATAGGCATGGAATATTCCCATGACCTTTCTTTTGAGTTTAAGAGCAAATTAAAGAGATGAATATTACCTATGGTGCAAATTCTTATTTGTTCTAAATATTGTGAGTTTTATTTCTATCGTAATAGAACTCAACAACAGTAACGTACCTAAAGCTTAGTTGAAAAAGCGTCAATCTACATTTAAATTCCCTAATTAAATATGGATAATAAAATTAACCATATCCTTCGTCCAAAAATTAGAATTGGACGTATATTATTGGTGTGTACTAGGAAAAGAAATTTTGACCCGCGGAATCCCGTACACAAGATAAATAAAATGTGGTTTATCGCTTCTTGTCTATCTTCACTGATACTTAACAATTTTCATTTTTCAACTTGCAAAATTGTAAATTCTCTATACATATAACAATTTTAAATTTTCATTTTTCACGAAAAAATTTTAAATCCTTTTATACATATAACAATCCAAATCCCTAATACATTATTAGACTAGTGTTATTATGATGAATAGATCCAAATTATTACTTTTTGTTTATAATAATAATCTACCATTTACTTTTTCAAATTAACCGTGTGAGACTTTGAAGGAGACACTTTGGTCACAACAATTATCACGATAACTTACATATGTTTCTATTGCAAATTACCTTACCTTTTTTTTTTTTTTTCTTTCGTCAAAAGTGAATTCAAAATGAACTTAGTATTTGTAGTTTATAACGTTTTGTGATGTTTGAATAATAGGTTACGAGACAATGGTTTAAATTTATAATAAGTGTTTTTTAAATAAGTAATTTTTAAAAAGCTATTAATTTGAAATGTATATACCCTATATGTAGTGCCCTTTATTATTTTTGTCATATTGAGCTTGACAAGGAGCTTTGTTTTATTCTTGTCCATGTTTTAGTTTACTGACCCTCAATAACTGAAACACTATTTTTTTTTCTTATTAATATGTTGGGTTTTTATTTATTTATTAACATATATTCTCTTTCTTTCTTTTTTCTTTTGAAAATTTCATTTTACTTTACTGCTTTGTTTGTTGGGTTAATTTACATCCTTCTTTGAAAAATAGATGCCAGTATTAATACATTCCATGTGTTATATTGTGTGATCTACATGTTTATTTTGTTCATTATTTTTCTAGTATATATGAGATGAATTATTAAATTATTAATTAAATAAAATGACAGCAAAAAAATAAAATAAAATAAATCATTACTGTAGTTTTACTATGATGAAGAGATGACCGATGTACTTTAACTTTAACTATTTTATTTATTTATTTTAAACTAGTATTGATACCAGCAATATATATATATATATATATATATATATATATATATATATATATATTAATTAGTTTTAAACTTTTAAAATATAATAATAACAAAACTGGCCTTTGCAAAGTAAAATGAAATAGTTTCAAAATAAATCAAATTTCAATAGCAATTAAAAAATATATTTCAAAATAATTGTTATAATGAAAAGTAAAAATGTAGAGTGGTAACACTTGTTATACATAATTGACTGTCAAAACAATCTTTCAAGTCATTTTATTATAAATAGATTTGAAATTTTGTTATTAATAAAATTTTATGAGAAATCTTTAATTGTTTTAAATAGTTTCTTACCGTCCTGGATAACACATTTATTTTTTGCTTAGTTGCGTAGATGATTTCACGTTTTTCTTATGTATCATAATAACTGACACTGGAATATAAAAAATTAACTTTGAAGATAATTTTTTACATTAACTATTTTTAATTACTTTCATCGAAAATAAACTTTATATGATGTCCTATTTTAATTAAAAGGGATAGGGCAAACGTGGAGGGTGGGGCCTAAGTCTATAATATAGAAACAAGTGTTAGGACACAATTAAGAAAATAAATAAAACTTATTGCAGTGTCATTTGAGGTTAGCACCTTGGCCAAGGGGGAAACCCAACCACAATATTTTTTCTAAGAAAAATAAAAAATAAAACTTGTTTTCAAATATATAATGACCCGACATAAGTATTAATTATCCGTACTGAGTGTATACAAAATAATAAAAAAATATTTACTGATTAATTAGTTCAACTATTATATTCATGATCATAACCATGGCTTTACGTTAAAAAGTTAGTTTAGGTAAGTCATATAACGAAATTATTAAAGTTATTGCTCTAAAATAATTACTTTTAAAGTTATGTACTCTATAAAAATGTTTAATTTTAAGAAAATATGAAATTAAATGTAGATTTAAATTTTAAATCCTAAATCCGAAACCAAAATTTTACATTTACATAAATATAAGACCGTGTTTCAATTTCACAGCCTACGCTTTTACCATTGAAAATGGAGATGAAAAAAAAAAAGTGGGTTAGAAAAGAATGAATATTAGTTAGCTGTACGGCGTGAATTAAGAGAAAGGTCCCCAAACTTTCCCTCCCCCACTCCTATTTATAGGCTATAGATTTCCACTAATTTTCTCATCTTCAATGTTAGGTATCAGACTACTTGCACAAGAACTCAACTAAAATAGAAAAGAGAAAAATTGAATAGCAATAATAGACAAAAGTGGAAATTTTATAATAGAAAGAAAAATTACATACCCTTTCTCTAGTCCTAAGAATGACAACACTTTCTAATACTTAAAGAAGGAAAGAAATTTTGGGATATTGAAATAAGGAGGGAGGGGCTCCTTTTATAAGAAGGAGGAGAGCCCCCCAATTGAAGTTCCCACCGATGTGGGACTTCTTTCTTCACAATCTCCCACTTGAAGATTTTGATGAAATTAATCAAATCTTCACACTATGTCTTCTTCTCTCACATCCATCTTGCTTATGTTTTCGATAGGCCATAGAGGGATCGACTCCGTATAAACTTGTCAGCATTAACCGGCTTTGTCATTACATCTGCTAGGTTCTTCTCAGTGTGGATCTTCTGTAAATCTACACTTCCTTCTTCTACTACTTCTCGAACAAAATGATATCTTATTCCTATGTGTTTTGTCCTTGAATGAAAGGCTGGATTCCTTGCAATGTGTAAGACACTTTGACTATCACAAGTACACAACAATTTGTTGTTGCTTGTGACCAAGTTCCCTCATTATTCTTTTAATCCAGATAGCTTCTTTACATGCTTGGGTAATGACCATGTATTCGAGCTTCCATAGTAGACAGAGCTACCACATCTTGTAACTTGGATAACCAACTTACTGCCCCTCCATTGATGGTAAACACATAACCAGTAGTAGACTTCCTTTTATCCAGATCACCTGCAAAATCCGAATCAACATAGCCTCTAACAACCGCTTCGATCCTCCATAACATAATGCAACATTTGATGTTCCTTTTATATACCTAAGGATCCTCTTCACATTTTGCCAATGCTCTCCACCAGGATTCCCCATGAATCTACTAACCACTCCCACTGCTTGTGCAATGTCCGGTCTTGTACAAATCATGACATACATAAGACTTCCAACTGCTGATGCATACGGTACTCGAGACATTTCAATCCTCTCCGCTTCACTGCTAGGACTCATACTTGAGGATAACTTACAGTTGACAGGAAGTGGGGTAGAAATTGGCTTGCAATCTTGCATGTTGAAGCGCCGCAAGATCTTAAGTAAATAATTCTTTTGAGAAAGCCAAATCTTCCTATATTTTCTGTCTCGGTGAATTTGCATCCCTAAAATCTTGTTTGCTGGTCCCAAGTCCTTCATATCAAACTCCCTAGCCAATTGTGCCTTCAATTCTTGGATTCGAGCTTTGTTAGGGCCTACCACCAACATGTCATCCACATACAACAACAATATGATGAAATCATTTTCTTCAAACCTATTGTGGTAAGTACAATGGTCCGAACTTAGTCTGTAGTATCCGAGGCTAATAATGAAGGAATCAAATCTCTTATACCAACACCTTGGCGCCTGCTTTAGACCGTATAGAGATTTGTTCAACCTGCAAACCAAGTTTTCTTGCTCTTTGAAGCCTTCTGGTTGGAGCATATATATTTCCTCTTCAAGTTCTCCATGAAGAAAAGCGGTTTTACATCCAATTGCTCAAGATGTAAATCAAATGCGAGCACACATCGCCAGGACAATTCGATTGTTGTCAATCTAACAAGCTGGTGAGAATATCTCGTTGAAATCAATGCCTTCTTTCCGAGCATATCCTTTTACCACCAGTCTAGCACGATATCTTTCCACTTGATCATTGACATCTCTCTTGATCTTATAGACCCATTTGCAACCAATGGCTCTGCGACCTTTTGGAAGTTCCACAAGATGCCATGTCTTGTTTTTATAAAGAGCTTCAATTTCTTCTTCCATAACTGACCATCCATAGAGGAGCTTCGAATCACTCACGGCCTCTTGAAAAGTTGAAGGTTCTCCTTCTTCACTTAGGAGACAATACGCATCATGACTTGCCATCACATATTGTGAATGCCAAGATGGTCCGACTCTTTCTCTTGTTGATCGTCGGAGTTCTCCTTCTTCCACCTCATTTGGTTCATGTTCTTCATGCTCCTCCTCCGACTCAGAGGAATATTCCGAAGTCTTCTTCTCTATCTGTACTATAGTCTTGTCCTTTTCCGAGCTGTCATTTATCTGCTTGCTTTGCAGTTCATTTTCTGCAAAGACGACATCTCTGCTAACAATAACTTTGTGGGCAATGGGATCCCACAAGTGATACCCCTTCACATTGTCAGCATATCCCAAGAAGATGCATTTCCTGGATTTTGGATCCAACTTCGTCCTTTCTTGGGTGTTGTACATCACGTACGCGGGACAACCGAACACATGTAAGGAAGAATAATCGGTTGATTTTCTACTCCACATTTCCATAGGAGTTTTCAACCCAATTGCTGTTGATGGAGACCGATTTATCAAGTAACAGGCGGTATTCACGGCTTCGCCCAAAAAGACTTTGTTATGCTCGCAGTTTGCGAGCATAGCTCCGGTTCTCTCTAGAAGAGTTCTATTCATCCGCTCTGCTACACCATTCTGTTGAGGCATGTGTGGAACAGAAAATTGTCTCACAAATCCTTCTTGCTTGCAGAATGCTAGAAAATCTCCATCTACATATTCTTCTCCATTGTCTGTCCTCAAACACTTGATTCTCCTCCCGGTCTCAAGTTCTACTTGTGCTTTGAAGTCTTTGAACCGCGCAAATACTTCAGACTTCTTCTTGATAGGGTATACCCATAATCTCCTCGAGTAGTCATCGATGAACGACACAAAATATTTTGCTCCTCCAAGAGATAATTCCGGCGATTCCCAGACATCAGAATGGATCAAGTCCAAAGTTTGCTTACTCCTTGTGGTGGTTCTTGCAAACTTCAACCTGTGTTGTTTGCTTGTCACACAATGCTCACAGAAGGGTAAATCGACCTTCTTGAGCCCGGGTATGAGATCACGTTCCGCAAGAATCTGCGAGACCTCGCTCCGACATATGTCCAAGTCTACGGTGCCACGTTACCGCCGCTTCTTCTTGGCTTGTTGACGCAGTTGTTGCATGATTTTCTTGCAAGGTGTCTCCCATAAGCACATACAAGTTTGCCATGATTTTCTCTGCTTTCATGACAACTATGTTTCCCCTCACTGCCTTTAAGATTCCTCCTTCAACATGAATCTTGCAGCCGAGGTCATCCAATTGTCCTATAGACAATATATTTTTCTTCAAGTCCTTCACATGTCGTACTTCTTGGATTGTACGAATAGTACCGTCATACATTTTTAATTTGACAGTACCAACTCCAGCAATCTCTAATGCATGGTCATTTCCCATGAACACGAATCCACCTGAGATAGGCTCATAGGTTTGAAACCAATCTCGGTGTGGGGTCATGTGCCAAGTTGCACCTGAATCCATTATCCACTTGTCATGAAATTCGTTTCCGCCATTAGAGATGATTGCTGCTTCGCTTACCAGAATTACTCCTTCCTCTGAAGTACTCGCAACGCAACCCTGTGAGGTTGATTCTTCATTCTTCCTCTTCCAACACTCTTTCTTCGTGTGCCCTTTCTTAGTAGTAGCATTTAAATTTGAAAGTCTTCTTGTTTCGAGAGCTCGATCTGCCATGATCTTGACTCCCACTTGAGCCATGTTCCATTGATCTTCCTCTCATCATCGTCAAAACTTCTGCTTGTTTAGAACTTTCTACCTTATTCATTCGCCTAGATTCTTCTTCTAGAATAGCTCCGGCAACATCGTCAAAGTGTAGTTGTCCTTCAATATTATTATTTGTAATGTTGATGATGAGTTGATCATACGAGTCTGGCAAGCTCTGAAGTAAAAGCTCTGCACGCTCATTCTCAATTATGTTGAAATTTGCTGCTGCTAATTGGGCAAACAAGGTGTTCAGTTGGTTGATGTGGTCCGTCACCGATGTGGACTCACTCATCCGAAGAGTATAGAGTTTCCTCTTCAGGAATATCCTTGTGTGAAGTGACTTCACCTCATATAATTTAATGAGGGCATCCCAAATCTCCTTTGCAGAATCTTTCTCCGCAACACTGGATAGAACTGAGTCTGCCATTGCCAAGTGTAAATTTGCAATAGCGTTGCTGTCAATTTCCTTCCACTTCTGATCCGTCATTTCTGCGGGTCTTCCTTCAATTGCATCAAGACAATTGTCCTTTCTCAAAATTGCCTTCATCTTCAATTTCCATAACGAGAAATTGTTCCCGTTAAACTTCTCTATCTCATACTTTGCTGCCATGGTTGTGTTTCCACTTATGCAACTCTCACTTATGAATAGTATTGTCTACTGGAACAATAGTAGTAGACCGTGAACCAATACACTAGGTAAGTTCCCAGGAAAGAGAGGTGAGTCACTAATGGACACACTTAAGTACCAAATCTTTCCTAGCCAGAACTTCCCCAGACAACAGTTTCACACTACTACACCTTTTCCAGTAACGACTCTTTTCTGATGTGGAAGATCAGATTAAACCGCAACCACAGAGCATACTCAGAATTTTACCAACACTATTCTAGTGACTAGCGCAACGGAATAAGAACGTGGCTCTGATACCACTGTTAGGTATCAGACTACTTGCACAAGAACTCAACTAAAATAGAAAAGAGAAAAATTGAATAGCAATAATAGACAAAAGTGGAAATTTTATAATAAAAAGAAAAATTACATACTCCTTCTCTAGTCCTAAGAATGACAACACTTTCTAATACTTAGAGAAGGAAAGAAATTTTGGGATATTGAAATAAGGAGGGAGGGGCTCCTTTTATAAGAAGGAGGAGAGCCCCCCAATTGAAGTTCCCACCGATGTGGGACTTCTTTCTTCACATTCAATACCACAACAAATCATCTCCATTTTAAGTAAATCTGTTCTGGTTTAACATTGAACGATGAGTTCCAAGACAGCGAAAATACTTGTCCTAGCCACCACAACGCTTCTTTTCGTGTCCTCCTCAGAAGTGCCAGCCAAGGGTATGTCCTTTTCTCTAATACACTTTCTCTCAATCAAAACTTTTTTTAAGTAAGATATAATATTAACAAACGTTTTTAAAAATACTTATAAAAAATTAAAATATAATCATTTTCTCAAAACTGGTTCCTAAGTATACATATTTTTATCAATATGCTATCATTTTGTTTTTGTTACCTCTCTCTCTATACATATACAGAGAGAAAGAAAAAGAGATATATGTGTTATTAGAACGAAAACAAAATAAAAGGATAAAAGTGAAGAAAAAAATATCATTTCAAAATAATTACTATAATAAAAGGATTTGGATTTTTTCAGTCCTATTTCTCTCATCCATTAATTTTATATCTAAAGATTATTATATATAAAACATAAAAATTATTAACTATATTAATTATTCTGATAGATTTATAAGTTGTTATAGGGGTTACTAAGTCGGATAGGATTCAAACTCATAATAATAATAATAAAAACAAACAAACAAAAGTGTAATTAAAAAAAATATTTAAGCCTTTCATATTTATTAACTGTTTCGCACCCTTAAAATATTTCTTATCCAAAACTTTAAATTTAAAAGATGTTTATAATGCAAGATATTTTTTTTTTTTAAATTCAAATTCATATCGTGGTGGATTCCCCCTTCAGCCTTTTTTTCAATTTGTTATTAACCTTTTTCTTTTTTCTTTAACATCTGCATACTTCAACTTTATGTTAACTTTGATATCTTTTTCTATCCCATCCCTTACCATTTCTGACTCTTCCCTTCCTATCCATCTCCTCCCTCCTGATGGGTGTGCAAAACTATATAGCAAAATGGTTCATGTGTTTGCAGGTGAGGTTGTTCGAGAGACAAATGGAGTGAATGGTGCCAACTTAGTTGCTAGTGGTGGCGGCGGCTTTGGTGGCTTCCCTGGTAGTGGCGGCTTTGGTGGTTTCCCTGGCAGTGGCGGCTTTGGTGGTCTCCTGGCAGTGGCAGCTTTGGTGGTTTCCCTGGTAGTGGGGGCTTTGGTGGTTTCCCAGGTAGTGACGGCTTTGGGCGGGGTAAAAAAACTTTGATTTTACCGAATTTTTTTTTTTTTTCAAAATTGGTTTGTATTGGATGAGATGAGTTTGGGATGTCGAAGTTGATAACATAATTTTGACTGAAATTCTAAGTATTTTTTTTTAAACGTGTTTGAATGGACGAGTTATATATAAATGTTCTTACATTAAACTCATGTTACTTATCACAAGTTTTTTATATATTTTTTTTCAAAATAGGAATTTTTTTAAATATATAATTTATTAAATAATTATTTTTAATTGAATTATTAATAGAATAGACACTACTAGAAAACTAGTTTTTTCTGCCAATTTTCTTATAAAAAACTTATTTCTTGTAATTTTTAGAAAACTTTACAAAAATATTCCCATGAAAAATGAGAATTTTTAGTAATGAGAAAAAAAATATTTGGATATGATTAAATTGAATTTATTATATTTATATTAAAATATTATATTATTTTAAAAAAATATAAATTTGTTGTCGAAGTGAACAGTTTGCATCCTTCATTTCTATAAAAGGAATATATTTTTGGTTTATTTTTAACTTGTATATCCATTTCATTTTGAACCGGAGACACATATTAGGATTCATTTCTATAAAAGGAATATTTTTTTGGTTTATTTTCAACTATTGTATATCCATTTTATTTCGAATCGAAACACATATTAGGATCAGGACAAAAATTTAGACATGTATAAGTAGATCAATAATTTTCATTTTAAACCGGATGAAATTGAAATCCATACGCCTTATGAATATTTTGTAAGTTGTAAATTGGATCGATAAATGCAATTAGTTGTAAATGACAAGAAGAACAAACAACAATAACATTAGAACAAGAGAGTCGAAGAGCTTGAAATTTCTCACAATCACACCACCATTAATTTAATCGAACTATACAACTTATTGATCTTCAATGATGTCGGGGATTAGATTTGTCTCATAATTATCTTGATTGTACCTTTGAACATGACACATTTGAGCACATTGTTCATTTTCGTTAAACAATATAGTAATATGTTTTGAATACTTATGTCCATCTCGTAACATTTACTCTGCTTTCATGCCTCTTTCCACAAATCAAGATTTAATTCTTTCAAAAGTTGTTTTTACTAAGACAGATATAGGTAAAACCCGTACTCCTTTGAAAACAAAATTCATAAACTCAACAAAATTTGTTGTCATATGTCTTCCTCCATTATAAGCTTGAGTCCATTTTTCCAATGGAATATCGTCTAATCAGGACATTTGTTGTTGAAAGTCACTCCTTAAAGTAAATAATTTTGCTAAAAGTTTAGGTTGTTTCATCTTATATCCTGTATAGAAAAATATAATTTTAGACATATTTTATTTAGAGAAAATAATTTGTCTACTTTAGAAGATGTTACATAGTGATGAGTTGTTTTTTCAAATCAACATTTGTGAACTTTTTGTTGAAATTTGAGTCAATATGACAAATACAATATATTGAGGTGAGATCATTCCAATCAATATCTTTTAATTGTAAAGCTGACAATATTTCTTTCCTTGCCTTTGTCTGCTATTATGTATAAATTATTTTGAGGCGTAACATAATGTCTTAGAAGTTGCAAAAATCATACCGATGTCTCTTTTGTTTCACATTCCATAATTGTAAATGCAAGTGGAAATATGTTTCTGTTGTCATCTTGTGAAGTTACAATCAATAACATAACATGATATTTTCTTATTAGGAATGTACCATTAACTTAAATAATTGACTTGCAATATTTGAACCTTTTTATATATGGTTTAAATGACCAGAAGATATGCTCTAATATAAATGATAAATTATTATGGACATCATGCACTGAATGAGGAGAACAAACATACTGAACAATTGTACTAGGATTACTATCTTCAACAACTTGCAACCACTTTGGAAGATCATTATATAAGTGTTAAATGGTAAAAGTTGATATAATTATGACTTGAATTGTTATAAAACCACTTAACTTATGTTAATTCTAATCTATTTTTCTCCCAATATAGGATGAATTCGAGAATACCTTGATACAAGAGTAATGAGCATAATTATCAGCATAATTAGAGTAAAATTGAAAGAAAGAAGAGTGCTTAAGCGAATGAATGATGCGAGGCCCGACCCAAATTCTCTTATAAAAAGATAAGTTGTGTTTTGAGAAAAGAAAACAGTCTTGGAGGAGATGAGACACAACTACTGATAGGGTTTTGTCTAATCTTCATCAATTCTTCACTTCTTCATCAATTGGAGCATTGTAATGGCCAACATGAGTGACTAATTTCATTCTCTTAGGATTTGGTGTACTTCCTTTAAACTCTTTTGTATCATGATGATATTTTGAGATATTAATCTATGCTTTGATGTTGTTATTCTTATCCTTTATGCTTTGGAATGATTTATTCTTGATTGTTTGAGGTATGATTGGAAAATATATCTTGAACCCTAGATCACGGTAAGAATATTTGTTACGTTAATTGTCAGGAATGGAATGAATGTATCAATTGCTTAACACCTTAACCCTAATGCTGGGAAATCTCTTAATTGTGTGAGGAATCAACATTTATTAGGTTTTCTTATGAATTTCATGTGTGAGGAATCAACATGGATGATTTGAGTAGGTGGCATCAACATTGTTAGGTTAATTGACGTTCTTAATTGACATAACCATTACAAAAGAGGGATAAGGAAGGAAGTCAATCCTAAGTACCTTTAATTGATATTTTCTCAACAATTTACATTTCTTTGTCATTTAATTTCAATTCAACTCTTAATTGCAAAACTTAATCTATTTTAATCTACTTAGTAAACATAATTGGGAATTTCCATTGAAATCGTTCCTCGTGGGATCGACTTTTATTTAATCGAAATACTATACTGCAATTGATAATTTTGGTACGTTTGTCAATAATTCAACAATAAGTCATCCCAATCTCCAAATGCCACAACAAGTGCCTTTTGTTTCGCTACCCATGGTTTTTTGTAAGTGACTGTATAATTATGTTTATCTTTGACTTCCGCAATCAAAGTTTTAATTGGAACAAAAAGATATATTTTAACTAATTCAAAAATAATGATGGAAGAGTCTGAGTTTTGATGATTCGGGTTTAACATTGTACTCAAACATGTATGTAGTGCTTTAATTTTCTTAATCTCCCATTGGATACGAATTTTACTATATGAAGCACGAACTCTCTATTGACACCCGTTGTCATAATGTATACAACAATATATTTGTCAGTTTTAGACTCAATAACAAAAAATTTGTATCCCTCATCAATATGAAATTGTTTGATTGTATTTATTGTTGTCTGTTTTGATGGAAAACACCGACCTTCCCAGATGTTGTTTTCGTTTGTCCGGATAAATTGATCTGACGATTGTTCAGTATGTAGCAAAACATCATCATTCATATACATTGCAGCAGTGAAAAAATCATCATCTTCATCAACAAAATCTTGAACAATATCTTGAATAATTGGATCATTAATTTCTATGGACGAGGTACCAACTTGTGGACTCTTTATCATTGTCCTGGGTTACAACGATTAATAAATGTTAAGATTTATCTTGTAAGACGTCGTGTTATATTTTCAATTATATGTTTTGCTACTATTGAGTCTCATCCAACAAATCGGGTTATGAGGCAATTTGGATTTTGCCAATCAATTCTAAAAGACCCGATCAATCTTGACAAACTTCACAGAGAAGACACGAGAGGTAGAACTGATAGATTTTGACCTCAATACCATGAAACTTGGATTACTAGGTGGAATGACCGTCACAATCGATTAATTCAAGAAAACGAGTTCAACAGAAATGACCACTTGCATGAAAATACAACATATATAATATTGTATTTTCAGCATACTATCAAATATATTTCCTCTACCCAAGAAGAAGATTCAGATGAAGAAGTAAATACATCAATAATTTTATTTTATATATATAACATTCATATCAAACTAATATTAATTTTATTTTTTAATAGTACGATACTGAGCAACAGGAACAACCTCAATATATTGGCGAACCTAGTCATGCCCATGCTGGTCAGTCGAGTCATGTCCATGTTGGTCAGTCTAGTCATCAACATGTTGGTTAGTCGAGTGATCAATAATCATATCCATATTTTAGATATGTTGGTCAACTTCAAAATTTACCTGTGCAATTTCAATTTGGAGGACAAATTCCTTATACATTTACTTTGTTTCCTTATGAAACAAACATATTTTCCACCTCTTCCATGACACTACCATCAACATATAATTAAGCACATTTTGTGACCACTATGTCTAATATGTCTCCTATGCAGTATGCAAATGAAGAAAAGGATGATGATAATAATAATAGACAAACAAATATTCAACCTCAACCTTCAGAGGGTCATAAGCGTGCTACACAACCACAACAAAGACTTATTAAGATCAATCACGTAGACCAAAATAACAAATAAAAAGATCACCTTATGAGACAAGATCTCATTATTAATTTTTTACGTAATAATGTATATATGCATGCAATATTTTAATATAAATATAATTAATTAAATTTAACCTTATTTATCTAAATATTTTTATTTTTTTATTAAATTAATAATTCAATTGAAAATAATTATTTAATAAATAATATATTTAAAAAAATAAACAAATCGTATTTTTCCAAAAAATAAAAGTGAGAGTACAATTTTGGTTTAAAAAATAAGAAACTCTAGCTTGATAGCACATTTAAAAAAAATTAAAATTATACTTAGAAGCACAATTTTAGTCAAAATCGTGTTTTAAAGCACGATTTTAATCAAAATCGTATTTTAAAGTACGATTTTAGTCAAAATTGTGTTTTAAAGCACGATTTTAATCAAAATCGTATTTTAAAACACAATTTTAACCGTACCAAACTTTTCAACAAAATTTAACCTTTTTAATAAAATCAAATTTTTTTGACCCAGTATAATAAAAATACCGGCAGCTGGTCATTTCCCAGTTAATGGCAGCTTTGGTGGTGGTTTCCTAGGTAGCGACGACTTTGGTGGTGGTTTCCCAGGTAGTGACAGCTTTGGTGGTGGTTTCCCTGGTGGCGGCGGCTTTGGTGGTGGCTTCTCCCCACGGTTTTGTGGTTTCGGTTGTTGTTTTCGGAATCCATTCAGAAAGACTATGTGTTAGTAAAAAATCGATATAAAAATCGAGAAACAAAAGAAGAGGATTCGATGGTTATTGCTAAAGAAATTCGAGAATTGGAATCGAGAATCGGAATCGAGAATCGAAAGAAATACAGGAAATTCGATAATCATGGGGAAGTAAAAATCGATGAAAGGTATTGAGTATGAAATTAAATGGAAAGCCAGAAACAATTTTAAATATTCGATGGTTGAGGTCAAGATCAAAGGAATGATTATCACGCACGTGGAACGTGAGAAACGGTTTTCTCAAAACCGTAGCTAAGATAAAAATCGAGAGATCGTTAACGTACGTGTACATGGAACGTGGTAGCAGTTTTCTAAACTGCTCTTAGGAGGTTACGTTGAAGCGGACCTATAAATAGAATGAAGCATGAAGAAGAAGGGGAAATTGACAGAGACAACAGAAGCACAAATGAACAGTCTACAGGAAAACGACGTATCATGAAGTTTCTAATGCTCTTGATTTCCATTTTCATTGATTGTCTTTATCATTTTCTTTACTTTCCCTGGTAACTTACTTTCATGCAATTTACGTTTATCAACTTTAAGTTTCTGTTCTTTCAATTTCTTGTCATTTACTTTTGTGCAAAATTTACTTTTATGCAAGTTAAGGTTATGCGTTTAAGATCCTCGTTATTTACATTTCCGCAATTTCGATTCCTTGTCATTTACTTTTATGCAAAATTTACTTTTATGCAAGTTAAGGTTATGCGTTTAAGATCCTCGCTATTTACATTTCCGCAATTTCGCTTCCTTGCCATTTACACTTAATGCAAATTTGAGGTTTTTCACATTTAACATTTCTCTGCAATTTGATATTCTGCACTGCGTTTCGATTCGACACTTTTACTGCTTTCTTTGCTTCACGTTTCTTATTAAAAAATACTAAAAATTAGTACTTTCGATTGTCAATCTGTATGATATGCATTTCTCGACATCATGGAATTTTTGATTCTCGTATACATGTTTTGATTGAAAACTATTTACTAGCCTAAATAAAAGAATCTACGTGGTTGGAGTTTGATTAGAACCTAGGTCTCCTAAAAATTGAAATCGATCAAATTCTCACCAAAAATACTATGCTTCAGGTGTTGCCCTATTCTGAAGAAACCCTAAACCCACAAAAATGACACAGTGTAGTTCTAGTTAACTAGTAACATATTATTAAATCAATATAATCTGGTGTCAGAAGTTTACTATAGGAAGTGAGATGCCAAATATTTGTAACGTACTTTTGAAATCGTGTGTTTTCATTTGTAGTGTTAATATATTGATCATCATTTACATTGCCGAGTTTTTGCTTCTCTGTAATTATATCATGTCATCATAAGTTATCCTTAATTACCACCATGTATCTAGTTATTCAGAAAGCAGAGTAATTAGAAAGGCGAAGCTTAATAAAACACGGTTAATGTTTATTTAACTTCCCCTAATTAACAATGCCTAATTAATAAACTATGAACAATATAATATCTGCACTTGCCACAAAATTCTAATCTTTGGTCTATATTAGAGCCTTATTTAGTTTGGCTATCTAAAGAAAAAACTAATCACCAAGTTTTCAAAAATAATTTTTATAGTTATTAACTATTACTTAATAAAAATCACCCATTATACATTTTTTATAAGGCTAATATTCGTTTTTATAATTATGACAATAAACAAAATTAATTTTTTTTCTACCTTTTCATTAATTTTACTTATTATCATACTCAACTTTAGATATCATAGTCCTACGCGCATTACAATTTTATTCGGTTTATTTTATTTTATATTATCTCCTTTTCATTTATTTTTTACTTCTAAGTCCATATTTGTGAGCATATTCATTAGTAAATATGAAAAATGTAATTAAATCATTAATTTTATTTTGTTGAAGTAACATAATATGTGTAATAATTGTGTTAAGAGAGAAAACAACACATCATTTTTTTTTATTTCCGTTATTTATTGTTTTTTATTTTAGTTTAGCAAAACATGTTTCTGATTTAAAGATTTATTCTCATTTGAAACGTCCCATATCTTTATATATATATATATATATATATATATATATATATATATATATATATATATATATATATATATATATATAAAGTTTTAATTTGGTTTTTGTGACTATTTTTTAAATTGTTAATGTTTGATGTTAATTATTTCTTCTTATTATTTTTAAGTTATTAATTTTAATTAATATTAATTATGTATAAATTTTGTCATTTGAAAATAGTTTTTATTGATTCAAAATATAAAATAATTATCTTGTATTTAATGTTCATTTTTATTTTAATATTTTAAAAAATATATGTTATGTGTGTGGTGAACATCTAAAACATTAATGAGTGTAACCTCATATCGTCACAATCCTAGACTTAATTAAAAGTGGCAAATACATTTGTGACTTTGGGAAATTGTATATATTTAAATATTTTTATTTTAATACATTGAAACCCACTATCTCTAATTTAGTGGCTGAAGTTCATTTTAATTTCGTACTCTAGCGAATTAAAATTTCTAACATGTGCTAATAATCGAAATATGACACGTACGTATAACATATTTACAGAGGGCTCATGCCAACCCACTCGTTCAAAACGTAACTTCCTCCAAGAAAAATTGCAAATTCTTTATCCTTTGTGATTTAATGAATTTGACGGCTAATTGACAATGAGTTTAATGACATTTTGGCAAGTGGTTGAATGAAAATTCAACCTCCATAACAATGAGTTGGTCATTCATGTATTTCAGAACATGAGATTACTCACAAATGGTCGTTTATTTTGTTAGATATATTAAAACTTTATCTTCATATATGTGATAATAATTAGTAATATTATTATTTAACATAAAATATTTTCACTTACTCCTAATTTAAAATTCACCACTAGATGGTTAATTAACATTCTATTATATTATTATTTTATAATTTTAATGGGATTAGTTAAGTTAGGTTTTAGATTCAATATAAAAACTCAACATTCAATTTTGTAGATAGAAAATGAAGTATGGCAGCGTTAGATTGAATTTAGCTTAATTAGAAAGAAATTAGTGTTGTCTCAAGTTATTAAACCCATTAAACAACTTATCAGTAAATTGTTAATCAAACTAGAATTTAATTTTATTTTTCAAATAATAATTTATGAATGAAAAAAAATACTTTGTACTAATATTTTTAATTTTATAGAAATAAAATTTAACTTTGATATAATCCAGTTTTTAAAGACTTGTGTTAAAGATTAGTATATACAAATTTTTAAATTAATTATAAAATAAATCTGAAAATGCTTAAAAAGTGTATCTAATTTGCTGTAATTGATTTTATACTTGGTATATAAAATTTTACGTATGATAAAAGTAGCTAAATACAGTAGGTGTCTACTTCTCCAGTTTGGTTACACGTAGGTGTGATACACGTATGATGTACATTAATTAAGGTGCTTGAATGTGGTAGCCTACAACTTTTTAGCATTGAAAGTGTGAAGGACAAATCGGTTCTTAAGTTAAGCATAAAGTCTGAAAGAGTACGCTACGGCGCCATTTAAGAGGAAAGGTCCCGACCTCTCCCTCTTCCCTCTATATATAGGACTATGCATTCCACTATTTTTCCCATCCTTCAACACCAAACATATATCGTTTCAGTTAATCTTTTCTAGTTTCTATTGCATGATGGGTTCCCAGAGGAAGATACTACTTATCCCAACCCTGTTCGCCATCATCCTTTTCATCTCCTCAGAGGTGCAAGCAAGGGAATTGAAAGAGGGTGAGCTATATACTGATTTTATTTAACCATATTACTGCTATAATTTTATCCTTAGTTTTATAAATAGGAACATGTTTCTTCGTTTGTTAAAGTAATTTTAGTTAGACTATTATCACCAAAGCAACTATCAAATTTTACCAAAACCAACTACAATGCTTTTAAAACATTCATTAACCCAACTTTTAAAAATACAGTATGTTTACCACTTAAGGGTTTAATCTTTTTCATTCGGTCATAATGGACTCTCCTTCTGGAATTTTTTTATGTTTTCCAAATTTTTATTCCCTGGTGGTGGCTTCGCAGTCTCCGGTCGGCATCCTGATACCTTCTCTGGCAATGGTGTCTTCTACTTCGGCAGAAATGGTTACGGTGGCTACGGTGGCTACAATGGTGTTCCCTACAGTGGCTACAATGGTGTTCCCTACGGTGGCTACAATGGTTTTCCCTACGGTGGTCCCTACAGTGGCGGTTACGGTAACTCTGGTGGCTCCGGTATTCCTTACTTTGGTGGCACCGGTAATCCCTTGCTTGGTGGCACTGGTAGTCCCTACGGTGGTATCTTCAACGGATATCCCTATCCCTTCGTAGGTGGAATCGGTACTGGGTTCCGGTCAGCCCCTAACACTCCTGTTGGTGGTGGTGGTAGTGGTGCGGCACGGCCGTAATGGGTATTACTAAGATGGGGATGTAGTGAGAGGATAAGAACCCTTAGTGGAGACAGAGTAATTCTACGTACTTAATTACATATTTAGTCAATAAAATCTCGTGTTATGAGAGGCATGGATGGATAGAAATCAAGGATGCATGTGCATGCATCCATGCATGATTATCTTTTCTCCTCACCTTTCTTACCACTATAGATATTAGGGTTGAACAATACGTTGTTACATTATGGCTGTGGTGTGTGATAAAAGTTTTAAGATCAAACTCAACTATCTGCTGTACAAATAATTTGTCATAAATCGTGATTTTTTCTTCTGCTGTTACTGTATATCATCACCATTTTGTCTATCATCCTCTTTCTTCTTAAGGTTATTCCTTAATTCTCTGTATTATCATGTCTTAATTTTAACAAGGTCAACGCTGCAATATTTCATTTCCTCTTATTCAATATGCCTAATAAATTATGAATAATACAAGGGTTACAAGATCTTATATTCACGATGACATAAATAATTGAAAAAAAAGGAGAAAAACAAAATTTATTTTAATGATGTGCCAAAAATATTAATCTTATACATTAATAGTATCTTTAATGAAAATACATAAAAAAGTTACACGTACATATTAATCCTAACTTTTAGTCTATTAGTCTATTCAGGATAGGCAGAGAAAAAAACTAATCAATATATATCAGACACGCAAGAAAAAGGAAAGCTAATCAATTGTAAGTCTCTGTTGTGATAATAGTAGAGTAACTAAAAACGCCGAGGAACCAATATCGCATAAGTTTTTCAAATTTAATTAAAATGTATAAATTTATTAAATATTTGGGTAATATTAGACACATAAATTAACATTGTATTTTGTTATTATCACCACAATAAATTTTATAATTAATTAGAAAAATTAACTACAAAATTTATTTTTTAATAATTTGTAGCTAATTAGCTATGAAATAGTGAAAGAATAAGGTTGTAACTAATATGTAGTAAAATAATTAGAAGACTAATATTTTTGTAGCTATTCTCTCACTTACCAAAAAAATAATTTAGTTAGAAAATTTTTTATCATTAATCTCTCGCTATAAATATTAGTTATATTAGTTTTTGAAGCTATTTCCTAGCTAAATTATATAACATACAATTATAGTTAAACTGTAGCAAATTTATAGCAACTATCAAATTGAAAAAAATATTAAATTATTGGGAACCATTCTTATAAATTATTTTAGTTTTATAAAAAATTATTTATAAAAAAATACTTGTAAATTTCTCTAAAAATATATAATTATAAAAAATAATTTTTGATCTTTTTGAAAAAATATCAATAAAAATTAATTACAATTTTTTCTTAAAAAATTATTTTTACCAAATTTACTATAAATATATAATTATATATATATAAATTATTTTTTATCTAAAATAAATTATTTAGAAATAATTATAATTTTTTTGAAAAAATATCTAAAAAAATTGATAAATATTTAAAATTATTTTTTGTAAGTTTTTTATAAATTTAAATTTGTTAGAAATATTTAATAATATTTAAATTAATAGAAAAATTTTATAAATAATATTTTTTTATAACTTTTTTAAAAACTATTCTTTATAAGAAATAAAAAAAATATATTCAGAAATACTTATTTATTTATTTTTTTATAATTCTTTTAATAAAAATCTAAATTAATTTTTTTCTCATCTTCTTCATACTTAATTTTCTCAAACCTAATGCATCGCTGCCTCTCTCTCGTGCTGCTCCTTGCCCCCTGCCTCTCCTCACTGCTGCTGCTGCTCCTTGCCCTCGCTGCTGCTCCTTGCCCCTGCTGCTGCTGCCCCCATCCACTGCTGCTGCCGCTACCGCTCTCGCGCCGCTCCCCTGCTGCTCTTGCTCCTGCTCCCACGCTGTCCTGTGTCGCGGTGTTTTTGGTTTTGTTTAAGCGTGCAAAATGTTTCCTGTGGTTTTATAAATATTGTAATAATTTTGTTTCAGGGCTGCGATCAAGTTCCGCGGGGTTGATGCGGACATCAATTTTAACGTTAGTGACTACGATGAGGATATAAAGCAGGTTGTGAGTACTGAACACTGAAGTGGTTTTCGTGTGTTGGTTGTTTAAGAAGCTTGAATGAAATTTTGTAATTGTGGATTTGATTTTCGATTATTGCGATGTGCGGATGAGTAATTTCACGAAGGACGAGTTTGTGCATATTTTGCGTCGACAAAGCACTTGGTTTTTCAAGGGGAAGCTCCAAATACAGGGGAGTTACTCGCATAAGTGCGGGCGATGGGAAGCTCGTATGGGGCGGTTTCGGGTAAAAAGTGAGAAAACAAATATATTTGGTTGAATTAAGTGATTGATGAACTTCACATGCTCTACCCATTTTTTCATTAGTTTTCGATTTTACTATGAATTAAGTGAGATTGTGTAGGCTGGTTTAGTTGGTGATAGATCAGAATTCAATTTTAAAGTTGTCCATGGTTTATTGCTGCAGGTTATATATCTTGGGCTATTTGACAGCGAGTTAGAGGCTGCAAGGTTTTACCAATCGTATATCAGAATATCTCTCAGACTAAATTCCTAAACATTTTGGATTCCATGTATATACAGACACACGCATAGTGTACTAATTTTTGGAAGAGAATCTAGATTGAATTGGTATGGTATCAGTTAGGAAATGTTTGTTGCATACGAGGAAAAATGACATTCTTAAAAGAAATACATGACATCCCTAAAATACTACGATCGAAAACGTTATTTTATAGACAAACTAGGGTGTAAATATGTGTTGGATAGATGGAGAAAAAAATATTCAGAGGAAGCATGTTTATATAAAAACGAGCTATGGTGTCAGCATTTTGAACCTCATGTGCAGAGGTTTGAACTGTTATGCAATATTGCTGTTTCTGCTGCTGAATTCGAGGGTACAAGTTCTTTTGTGAAGGATACCCTATATAACTTAAAGGAGAAACTCGAAGCATGGACATCGTTATTGAGAAACTCTTCTCATGTCGACATAGAGAAAGGCAAATAATATGATAGATTGGACATGAAGTTTTCAAAGATTTAATATTACTTCAATTAATGTAAATATGACTAACTGTAATTGTAAAAATTATCTTATGGATTTTCGTTATCATAGATTCTTAAAATTTTTAATGGTTACTGTTGATGCTTTTTAATTATATCTAACTAGTTTTCGTGCAATACAGAGGGACATATGCAAAGAATTTTTAAGATACTTTAGCAATTGTATTAATGATATATATCTATATTCAAATTAATAAGAGAACAAATTAAAATCCGGGTAGCTGTTAAATAACTACCCGGATTTAAAACACTGGTTGAAACCAAGTTTTACTCATCTGCCAAGAATCAGCATTTTCAGTATACTTGATTGGCTACTGAAAAGCTTCAGTTACTATACACATCAGTTGTTTGCATGTTTACGCTAATAACTTTTTGATATATTCAAAATCAATTTTTTTTTCTTAAATTGCAGGTTGAGGCACATCCTAGGCAGGTTGGTTACAAACAACTTTGGTTTCATCACTTGCTATTTTACTCTATCTGATATTCTTCTCATTTCATAGCTGCATAATTGGGTTTGGGGTCCTCCTAATCTCTATGATATAAGTGGAAGTGCACACTTCATAAATAAGTGTGACAATGGAATTGTTATTCACCGAAATCGGGATCCTGAAGCTGGGCCTATGGACGAAGTACAGGTCCTTTTCTATTCTATAAATTGTGATAATAGATTATGTGCAAATGATAAAAAAAATTAACTGAAATAGATTTTATTAAATCAGAGAAAAATGTAATTGACATTTACAATTTCAGAAACTAAATTGAGGATTTACTCGGTGAAGGGTAATACATCCTAGGCAGGTTGAGGCAAGATGACAAGTGGGAACATGATTTCTTTAGCGATGGTGAACCACGGATCACTAGTATGAATAATGTTATTCTCATAGGCAACTATACGTTGCTACTTTTGATGGATGACAATAGCTAATTTTTTTTTTTTTGACTTGTTAATGCTTTGTGATTGTGAAGATGGCAAAGTTAGAGCTCAAGATCTACACCTCAAGCTTCAAAGGAAAGGTCTTCAATACCTGCATATCAGAGCGGAAAGAGTTATGCTCCAAACATGCGTGTTCTCCCTGAAAGGCTAACATGAATAATGACAGTACAACCTACAAATGTCGATCCGCCAAAATCAACAGTTGTTAAACCAAGCAGTAAAAATGTTGGTGTTGAGGTCCCTGCAGTACAGATCAAAAGGCCATGAAACAACAAAAAATGCAGTTTTTGAAGAAAGATTAACTATCCGCCTTAAAGAAACAATGATAAAAATGTACTTTAAACTTTGTTTCTATTTTTAGTTGTGTTATATAAAACTTTTTAGTTGAAATATTATTTTTGTTATATTTTAATTGTTTAAAACATCATTTTAACTATGTTTAAACAATACTTTTATATTGAAAGTTGATAAGTTTGTCTTCTTTTTTAAGAATGAGTAATAATTTAAATCTTAAATATTTGATATTATAAATTTTGATAAAAATTATGAGGGATTAGCTATGAAATAGCGAGAGAAACATTATAAAGGATTGGATACGGATTAGCGAGCAAATAATTCCAAGGCATTAACCACATATTAGCTAGAGATAAATTGTCAGGGATTAGCTACAGATTAGCGAGAGAAAAATTGCTAGGGATTAGCTACGAATTAGTGAGAGAAAAATTGCAAGGGATTAGCGAGAGAAAATTTGCGAGGAATTAGCTACAAATTAGCGATAGCGAAATTACGAGGGATTAGCTATGGATTAGCTACGGATTAGCAAGAGCGAAATTGCGAGAGATTAGCTACGGATTAGCTACAAATTTTGGGAGATCAAATTAGCTAGAGATAAACAAAATTTCATCATTTAAATTAGCGAGGATTTAGCGACAGTTTAGCGACAAAATTTGCTACAAGTTTGAGAGAGAATACATTTGTATCTAATTAGCTACTTGGATTTAACTACGGACTATTCCATAGCTATTCCGTAGTTAATCTGTAGCAAAACATACTAGCGAGAGATTAGCTATAAAATAGCTACGGAATGTGTCATAGCTAATATGTAAAATTCTTGTATGTTTAATTTTTTTTTAATATTTAAAAATTCACTGAACAATAATATATAAGTTTTTTTTTAATTGAAGATTAAAATGTATATATTTGAGTGTTTAAAAAAAAACATTTTTGTCTTTACATAACTTGATTAAAATGATTTTACATATTTATATTCACTTTTTCAACATATTTTTTCATTGAATTATTAGTTTTTAAGTAAAAAAAAAATCTTCAAATTTTTTTAAATAGATATAAATCTAAAATTAAAAAAAATAAATTACCAGAAAAATGTAATACGAAACATAATTTAAATCTTCTATGCGATATTGGTTCCTTAGCTTTTTAGTTAAAATATCTTTAACAAAGATCTGAAGTATAAATAAAATGTAAAGAATAAAAGTTACGAACATTTAAAATGCCAATGTTTTGATAAGGTAGAAAAAAATAATCTAAAAATAAATAAATATGACTAGTATATATATAATATATAACTCAATAAATTTAAGTATGAAAACAAATAAAATACTTAAAACTTCTGTAATATTTTTTTATAATATTTGTATACGATTAAAATTCATTTATTTAAATAGAATTAAAAAATTTCATTAATTATATATTAAAAGTATATTTAATAAATAAGTCAAATAGTGTCTGAACATAAATATTCTTGTAATTAAGAATGCAAAAATCTATTACAAATTAAAGTATTAAAAAAATATAAACATAAACTTAATTTAGTATTCTAAAATAAATAATTTGAAAAAAATTAGTAAATTACAATAAATAAATATAATTTAAAATAAACTAAAACGTGTGAAAACTTTTTAATGAGGAATCTAGCAAGACACTCAACTTGAGAAAACCGGTCCATACTATGTTTAAAATTAATTATCTTTTCCAAAAGAAAAAACATAAAATATGACTTTTTTAAAATATTATTTTAAGAAAAAGCATCTACCCCCTTCTTATTTTAAGAAACGACAAAATAAAATAAAATTTGAAGCGAATAATACACTTTAATTTAAGAAGAAGAAATATTGGAATAGTGGCATCAAGAGGGGATATGTAATATATTCCACATTAAAAAAAAAAAAGCTACTCATAAATGTAAAACTGAACACAATAAATTATTTCATTTATGTTCTTATTATTCATGTTAGCACCGTGACTCACCCTAAATTTTGTCTACAGAAAAAAAAAGTTCTTGACTTATTTTTTATTTCAATTAAAAAAATGCAGAGGTATTCCGTACGTACTAGACATTATGTAAAATAAGAAAATCATTTGATACTAAATATTCTTCAATAGGATTGTCAAAATTAATGAAAAAAAATAATTTAATGTAATATTCATATTCAAAATCATGTTTATGTGTTATGTTTGGAAACTTTTGTATAAAATCTTTTAAGAGAGAAAAAAAAATTATAACATAAAATTATTTACATGTATAAAGTAATTTTTTACAAATTACTTTATATTAGTTTGTTCAAATTAATTGATTTTGGTGTTTTTGTGTGCCCACACCACATCATCTAGCCTACCTACCCATTGGATATATAGTACTTAATTTTGGTGGTGGATTTAGTGTCCAACCACTTGTGACGATCACCACGTACCCTTGATTTTGTGTTTCAGATGACCGAATGATGGAAATGGTGTTGCAGTCCTTCTGGCAACGCATGCCCTAGACTATATCCCTAGATATGTAGGCCTCAAGGAGTTTTATTTCATTGCCATGACTTTGTTCAAGTTACCTTTTTTTCAGGACAGTTTTGTTGTTGGTAGAGAAGAATAAGTCAAAAGAAGTAGGTGAGAAGAGAACAAAAGAAAAATATAAAAATATGAAACTTTCTTAAGAACACTTTGTCCCTCTTAATCTAATGAATATAATGAATGTGACAACTGGTTGGAGTATGAGCTGACAACGAGTGAGTGAATTTGGTAAATTTGGCATCTCGTCTTATAGAAATTTAATAGCATTGATATTGAGTTAACGTTCAATAATTTAAAAATATGTAATCAAACATGACAAGTATGAGATGTGTAATTTTCTTAATTAGATTTATTAAAATTTTATAATTTTAAATTTATGTTTTTATCTGGAAAGAAACATTTGTATTTGTATCTTCTTATATGTGATAATAATAATTTTTATTATTCATTTTAATTTTTTTTCACTAACTCAGGTTTTAAATCCATCACTGAATGGCCATTTAACATTGTTTAAAGTACTTTTACGTTATTTATTTTTTAGAATTAAAATTTAAACTTTAGTAATATATCTATCTTTTAAAGACTTGTATGAAAACCTCAGAATTATTACAACAAAATTTTATTTTTTATCGAGACAAATCGAAAAATATTTAAGAAAATGTCTCTAGTTCTGTCCTTTTGAATTATTTTCTACTTATGATATACCAAAAAGGTATTATGAAAGCAGACTTCAGTAGGTGTCTACCACCTTTCGGTACAAAATCTCCTTGTATCAATCTCATATACTACCTTTGACATTTGAAAATGGAGAAGAAAACTCATGAGGTGGAGATGAAGAAGAATTAGGTTTTTGATAAACTCTAGAAAATATTGAATTACACGCTACTCTGCCAATTAAGAGAAAGGTCCCTCCACTTCTCCTTCCTCCTCCCCTATATATAGAATGTGCAATTTCGCTGATTTTTTCATCATTCAATATCAAACATATATCTCATTTGAATAGATTTATTGTAGCTTACTACTGAAGATGAAGACAGCATTACTTATTCCAGGGATGTTGGCCATGCTTCTTTTGATTTCCTTAGAGGTGACAGCAAATTCGAAAGAAGGTGAGCAATGCTATTCTCAAGTCATGAGTATTTTAAAGCAAGGATAATATATAACATCATGCAAAGATCGATAAACGTTTTATAAAGGTTTATTATATTGTAATGAACCTAATGCATTGGTTGTTGCAAAGTTCATTTTTGTATGATGTATATATATATATATATATATATATATATATATATATATATATATATGGTTCATGTGTTAATAGTTAATGTGTTTGCAGAGAAGGTTGATAGAATGGGTGATGCGAAATTAGTGGGTGGTGGTGGGTTACAAGGCTCTGGTCGTGACTTACCTAGTCCTATCCTCCCTGGTCGTGGCTCACCTAATCAGGGCTTCTCCGGTCAGGGCTACCCTAATCAGGGCTTCTCCGGTCAAGGCTACCCTAATCAGGGCTTCAACGGTCAAGGCTACCCTAATCAGGGCTTCAACGGTCAAGGCTACCCTAATCAGGGCTTTAACGGTCAGGGCATTTTTCCTGGTCGCGGGTATCCCGATCAGGGCTCTTCCGGTGGGAACTATCCTGGTCAGGGCTTCCCGGTGCCGGCCCAAGCGCCTTGCCATTTTGGCTGTTGTTATGGGGATGCCCGCGGTTGTTTATCATGCTGCTCATCACACTGAGTATACGACCCATAACTCAGGCACTTAATTAGTGGAATTCTACCACCTTTATAAATATTGTATCAATAAATAGATGAGATATGATACATTCATATCCAATACAGCCTAATAACAACTATAAAAATTAATATTATATCAATTATTATTATTATTATTATTATTATTATTATTATTATATTAATATATTTGATTCTCTTAACAGTGTTCACTAATATTACGTCCTAATATGTTTGTAGGAAAAGCTTAAGAGGAAATTCATATATATGAATAGTGAGTTTAAGTTCTACTGTCTCTCCATATAACTTACCAAAAATGTTATTATTTTTATCATCAGGATTTATTTATTTTTTTTCTCTTTTGAGGGGATATTGTTATTTTCACTGTAGTATAGATATATTTAACAACAACAATACATAAATTATCTTCATATTTCATGGATTTATTTTCTCTTTTGAGATGTACTATTTAATATATTTGATAGCAACAGTATAAATTATCTTGATATTTGGAATTTTAGAGCATAAAAAATTTAGTCTATTTTCAACCTTTTGTTTTTAAGAATTCATGAGCTATATTTTTAATTAAAAATATAATTCAAACTGGTTTTATTTTTATTTTTTTTTAATTTTGATAAATAAGCAAATAGATTTATTTTTACACTCTGTTGAAATTGGTGTCACCCAGAATTCAAAATGATAAAATAGCTTTTAAAAATTAATTTAATTTTAGTTGTCTATTACGTGTGAAGAAAGTATTAAGACTCTATAATTGAAAATTAGTTATCTTAAATAATTAAATAAATCAATAGTAATTGGTAAATTATTTATCTCTTTTAAAAATAATTAATAATTCTTTATTTATTTTGTTAAAATATTTTGAAGAAAAGTAGATTTTAATTTATGACGGACTCAATGGGATGATCTCTATTATACTCTTATATATGTCTCTAAATGCATTAAATAATCAAAATTTACTAAGTTCTTATATTTATCATTTTTGTTATCGTTTGATATATGTCATGTAACAAATGAATATGAAATTAAGTATTTATTTTTAACAGTAAAAATCAACTGTTCTCACCTTTTGTATCTTAAGAACTTAAAACAATTCTAATCCTTATTATTTTAAAATTGTTTAATTATAAAAGAATATATCTTTCTTGATAAATATATACTATTGATAATTTTTTTATTACAACCATTATTATTTATATTATTATTAAGAAATAACTCAGTACCTCAATTTGTCAAAAAATTTGGATTTAAAAAAAACATGTTATATCTAATGATTTTTTTATTAATTATGTTGTACACTGTAAACAAACATTTTTTTGCAAATATTGTAATTATAAAATAATTTCAAATACACAATGATGTCACAACTTATTTATAACATGTTACATCTCTTTGGCATAAAATAAATGTTTTACATATAATATAATCTCAATAAATTATTATTGTAAATACTGACAAATACTAAAACAAAACTTGATATGTGTATAATTATTATTCTTAAAGACTTATTCGTAGTATATTATACAAATTTTTCAATACAACATGAATTTTTTAAAATCTAAAAACTAGCAAGTAATTTTTTAAAAAGTAAATAAATCTAAGATAAAAAGAAATGGAAAAGAAGAGAAGATAAGCTTTGGAGGAGTGTAAAATAATTTATTTATAGGTGCAGTACGAGAAACAAACTCATCTCTATATTCCATATATATTCAATATTATGGGTAGTTATGTCCTAAAAACAAACATGAGAGATTTGTGGGGGATGTTGAAGATTTTGTACTACCCTGTTTTATAACAATTATATCATATTAAATGATAAAGAATTATATACAAAGATATACTAGATTGAGTCACACACGTAATATAGTTACTTTGTATGTAACTTGTTAAAATTAAAAATTGTATTAATAATATATATTTCTTTATTAAAGAAATAAAAATACTGTAATAAAAAAAATCAATCAACAAATATATTTATGATTGATAATGGTATAAGGGTGTTTTCCAGTATTCAGTTCATTATTCCGAAAAACAAAGAGATGCTGAATATTTAGCAGAGTAATTATGAATATAATACAAAATTTTTAATAGATATCATTATTCAAATGTGAACTTATTAAAAATTTCTAATTCATATGAAAAAATATTGTTAAACACATACTTTCAAATCTTAAATGTCTCTTTTAGGATATTTTTATAAATAGTAGATAAAAAAATTGACTCATTAATATATATAATACAAGATATATGAGGATAATAAATGAAAATGGAAAAAAATAATAAGAAAAGAGGAATAGGAGGTGAAAAACATATTAATATTTTTATGCCTTTTTTATTTTTTATTTTTATCAGTGTTTACTTTAATTATTAATTATATTTTTGTCTTTGTAAATTTCTCCTTTTTTTTAGTTTTTGTAAATTTAGTTGTTTTTTTCATAAAAATGTCATTTTTTACTTTTTAATCCCAATAAATATATTGCATTTTTATAGTTTTAATGGCATCAAAGATAACAATTTCACTTTATCATTATAGTAAAAAAGTAAAGGTATGAACTAAACATTTTTTTTAATTCCAGAGACGCGAAAATACAAAATAAACTACATAGACAAGAAAAACTTTAGTATTACATGAATGATAAATATATTTAATCCTTAATAAAACATACATATTCATTCAATAAAATCAATTTGTGTAAAATACTTAAACCTAAAACGATGCATAGTTAATACAAAAACTAAATTCTATATTTATAAATTTCCGTAATGGCCTTCAATAAAACTAAGCATAATATATTATTGAAAATTTTAAAACGTCACCCCGACAAATACTTGAGCGACAAATCCAAAAGAAGCAATTAATGGTCTATTATTATACTGTTCTAATTAGAATATTAATCAGTGTATAGGGTCATCTTTGATTAAAATAACTTCACCTTTCATGGATGTTGAATGGTTGTTAGCAAATTGACGATAAAAAGAACAATATATATAATTAACTTTATCATATTTTAGTTCACATTTTATAAGATTCTTTTCTTAGGTTGTTGTAATACTGGTTATATGGTGAACTATTATTTTAATAAAATCAATAGTTATTATCAAGCTGTCTGGAAAGCATATTCTAACAGCCATGTCGAGGGAATTTATGAACCAATATAATAAGATCATTTTCTGATAAAGCATATGGATATTAAAGAATGGTAGGCTACAATTAATTTAAGATCTGTTAATAATTTATTTTATACAAGTATATCTATTCTTAACTCTTGAAATGCTGAATTAATATTCTGCTGCACCAATTTAAAAAGAAAAAAAAATCCCTACTTCTCTCCCTCCTTCTCCTATATATATAGTATATATTTTTTCACTAATTTTGTCCTCACGAAACATATATTTCATATATGGATTCAAAGATGGCAAGACAGATCTTAGGCCTCTTGGCCATACTCCTTGTACTCTCCTCAGAAGTGGCAGCCAGGAATTTAAAAGAGGGTGAACTATATATCCATTTTCTATCATATTTTCTCATGAGTATTTTAAATAATACAAACATATAATTTAAAAACAGTATGTTCATTTTTATCATATCTTCACAACTTCGTATAATAGTCAGTCACATTTATCATTATTTTTTAAGCGATGACATCATTTATAACATAAATTATTTATGATATAAAATGCTTTTAAAGTGAGTTACTAATTCCTGAGAGAATTATAATAATTTATGTTGATATTGTTTTCGTTAAGAAGTTAATAAAAATACATTTTGTGATGTTCATTTTATGACAATAATACAGTCTGTGACGAAATTATTTTACTGAATATTTTTGTGACAAAACTTGACTTACGTTGTGACGGATTTTGTCTGTCGCAAATAGTGATTTTTTTCAATAATGTTCTTTCTCCCTCCCTCACAGATTAAGGTGTTTCAAATTCAATCTTATATAGTAAAATTCATGTGTGATGTGTTATAATGTGTCTGCAGATGAGGTTGTAACAGAGAGAAATGTAGTGGGTGACGCGGATTTCCTTGCAGGTTTCCCACAACTTGGTGGTGGTTATGATTATGGGCAAGCAGGTGGTGGTGGCCCCCCTACGTATGGATTCAGCCGTATTTGCATGCATGGCTGTTGCTATCCGACATCACTAGGAGGTTGCTTAAGTTGCTGCCCATGAAACCCATATTTCAGACAGTGCAGTTCTACGTACTTGATAATATATTTCATCAATAAAATTTCGTGTCCTAAGAGGCATGGATCCAAAGATGCCTCTCTCTCTCTCCTAACCTATCTTTACTCGAGATATTCCACAAGTAGAATTATGTTGAATATCAATAATACGTCACTGTGTCTGTGTGACATGTTTAAGAGTAAACTGAAATATCTACTGCACTGATAGTTTGTAAGACTTTTACTGGTTTCCTTCATAACTGTCTAGTATTTTTATCTCGGCGAAAAGAAATTATTTATTTTACACTAGTTACAGGAATACTTCAACCCTCTTACAAAATATCTGCGTCGAGCATCATCCCAATCAATGCATGTTGCTCTTCGTACGTAAAGGATGTCTCCCTCTTCAATAAAGTCATCTAACATTTCTAAATTTGCTTATTTAAGAATTCTAATGTGTTGTCTCTCCCACAAAAAAAAAAAAAATTAATGACGCAGGAAAAACCCTTCACCCTTGTGCACAACTATACCAAAAAAACCTTTTTTTTTTTTATCAATACAATTTCAATGTTAAAAATAATGTTATTTCTATGAAACGAAATAGTCCACACAATAGTAAATCAAACTACATACCATGCTTTCTCAGTTTTCCTTTCATACAAACCACGTGTTGTAGAAAATGACCTTCCTATTGTTACCACCAATTGAAATCCAACCTATATATTGTTTCGTCGTTATATAGATGATGTTTACAAACCCGTCAATTTTGAGAAAACAGAGTAATTAAGCAAGCCGGAGCTTAACTGAACAAAGTCATTCTGCATTTAATTTCCCCTAACTAAAAAGTGCCTAATGAACTATACCTTCGCATACTGATGCTAATTTCAGATGAAGTACTGAAAAATTGAAATGTGATTGATACTCTTTGAACATATAAATATGCTTGCCAATAACATGATCATTACGTATATGTTAATAATAATCATGATGAAGCTGGCGACAAAAATCAGTAGTTGTTAAAATGGCGATGATAACTATAGTAAGATTGGGGATGATGTAATGCAAGAGATGATGTATAATTAATGGTTTAATGAATTTATAGAAATATGAGTGGAGAATAGTGACCGAATAAGTTTAAAGTCTCTCGGTTATAGGCTGGATTATATATCAATTAAATTTCCTAACTTGATTATCTAGATCTTATTTATTACTTAGGTTCTAGGCTGGAATATTGTATATCATTTAAGTTTTCCTAACTTGATTTTCTACATCTTATTTATTACTTTGGTTCCATGTTGTAAGGTTTTGTAACGTCTTTATTAAATAGATTATATTCTATGGTATATTTTTATTTATTCAATTATTTATACAATTTAATTTATTACAAAAAGATAAATTATCACAGGGAAAAGATTTTTATAGGGAGTTTTTAATCAACTTTTATATACTTTGTGATTGATGATAGTTTGAAAGGAATAGGTCATTTTTCAATTGTTTGGCTTACTTATGTAAAATCAATTAAAAATTCTATTTCTAAGGTTATTGTTCGGGATTCAACAATGCAGTTAGAATTTTGAAATTCTGTAAAAAAATACAAAAGGTGTTATACAATCCATACATAAATTTTTAAACCACATATAGTTTTATCCTTTAAATGTGTTTATGCGTTAAGTAATATTATGGTATCAAACTAGCATTAGGTGTCTACTTCTACTTTTCATAACATAGCATATACACGTAGTCACTTACAATAATTGATGAGCTTCAATTTCACAGCCTTCAACTATTAACCATTGAAAACGGAGCTGGAGATGAAGAACTTGTGGGTTAGAAAATAATTAATATACGGCGCCAATTAAGAGAAGGGTCCCAAATCTTTCCTCAATCGCTCTATATAATAGTATGCATTTCCTCTGATTTTCACGTCCTTTATTACCACCTAACATACAATCTCATTTTACTAAATCTGCGGTAGTTCAGTCCAGAAAGATGGGTTCGAAGACGAAGATAGCATTGCTTATCCCAGTTCTACTGGCCATGCTCCTTTTGATTTCCCCAAAGGTGGCAATGGCAGCTAGTCATTTTGAAGAGGGTGAGTTATATATGAAAAATACATATCACTAGTGTATATCTTCATATCACTAGTGTATATCTTTTTTGTCATTGTAAAATTTTACTTTTTTTTTTATGTCCTTATAGTTACGTGTTTTTTTTTTTTTTGGTCTTTAAATTTTTGTTGTAGTCCTTATAATCTTTTTCCCTTAATTATAATTTTCTTCTTCACATGAATAATTTTCTATTGTAAATGGATGATGCACTAAGAATTGAAGTGTTTGCAGGTGAGACTGTTAAAGAGACAAACGCGGTTAATGGCAGATTAATTGATGGTTATAACATCCCAGACATTGTTGGTGGCATTGTTGGAGGCATTGTTGGTAGCATCATTAGTAGAATACCAGGCATTGGTGGTGCTGGTGGTAACTTACCTGGCACTGGTGGTGCTGGTGATAACCTCCCTGTCATTGGTGGTGCTGGTGGTAACTTCCCTGGTATTGTTGGTGGTAACATCCCTGTAGGTGGAGGTGGCATCTCAGGTATTGGTGGTAGTGGTTATCCAGGCCAAGGAGGATATATAGGACGGCAGTATTGCCCTTATGACTGTTGTGTTTGGGCACTTCGGGGAGGTTACTGCGCAACTTGCTGCACAATCTGAGGATTTGACCCACAAATGAGACAGTGTACTTCTACTTTTTTTTAATCAGCAAAATAAATTTTATACAATTTGTAGTTCTTCGTGCTTAAAATACTAAATGATTAAAATTTCGTGTTGTGCATGAGGGGCATGGACAAGGAGGCTTGAATGCCAACATGACTTTTGAATGTTTCAGCTAAAATGAAGGGCTAATAATTTCTTTTTTAACATGCTTAATAAATTGCCATTCACTTTCAACGCCAACATGCACAACAAGTTCAGTGGACCTTATTCAATTCATAAATCCAACATTTTTATGCAAAATTTGTTTCCAAGGTGCAACTAATTACCCTTATTTAATACATTTAACTTGAAAACAAAAATGGAGTAGTTTCTTGCAACAGAACATAAAGACACATACCCCTAACAAATTGTTAGAAATCAATTTTTCATGCCTCAAGAAGCTACTGAATATTTCTCAGGTATATCTCTTTAGACACTTTTCATTCTCTTTTACTCTTGAAAACTCTCACTACGTTTCTAAAAACCTCAAGCAAAAACCTAGATATTGAAGTTACACATACGCTTAATTTACAAAATAAAGAGAAAAAAATTATCAGACAAATTTTTTTTACATATATATTATTCCATGATAAACTATTTATCATGTATAATAAGTTTAATAAATTTAATAATAATTAACTAAAAATTCATATCAATTTCGTGCGTCAATAATCATCTTAAAGTATTAATGTCTATGGTTATGTTACCCTGTTGACTTTGGTGCTTTAACCAATACAAGCTAAGCCAGTAGAGATGCACTGGTTAGAGATTTTAGTTAATTTCGTTTCATAGAATTGTTAGTGTTTTGGATAACATACAATAATTGATTATAGTTTAAAAATTAAATTAAAGTAAAGCCACAAAAAGAATTAAGAAAGTAATAGTTATGAAGAATTGTTTCATTTTTTTTCTTATCACAATCCACATATAAGCATCAACATCACAATGAATTCTACATCCCAGAAGAAGAACATTGAGTAGGATATCAGAAATGCCAATTTTCAGCCCTTTGGAGAAAGCTGAATTTATAATTTAGGCTAAGTTGGCAAGTCGTAAGCTTGAATGATATTTTTTTTCTTTTCTAAACAAAATTAAAATGGAGAATTATAGAGAATCCTATGAGTTCTTGTTTGTGGGAGTTGAACATATATATATACGCTTTAGGACTTTACAAATCCTACCATTCCTTTTTCTTATTCTTGAACCAGCTCATGCTATAATGCTAGCTAATTAATGTAAACAGAGAAAATTTCAAGTGTGTTTTGATTTCTATAATTATTTTTAGTATACGTCTCCACCACTCTCCCAATCCTCATCACGTACGTTAAATTGTAAACCATCATCCTCCGAACTCAATCACTGTACCAAATAAACCATGAACGTTAGACATCCTATTATATTATAAAATCTTATTTTATACATCATTAGATTTTGTAGGGTTGAATTAACCAAATTTAATCCACTTATATAATATAATATAATAGAAGTATAAATTTTATCATATAAATTCATTTTATAATATTACGTTAAACAATTCTCACGTATTGATATTTGCACATTCAAAATAATTACGTGTTTTACATGGTTTCTTTTTTAACAAAAAAGCAAGAAACATGCATCCCACCAAGTCCTACCAAGTACCTTTGTTTTTTTTCCTACGATGTAATTATAATTAAAGATTATCAATACGTATGAACAATAAAAATTCGGAAATGTTATTTTAACAACCGATGCGTTAATATTTATTATTTTATTAATATAATGGATGTCAATTGAACGTGTGAGATGCATCATAAAAATTATTAAAACTTTAACTAAGAGTTGTAACTTAAATAAATCGATCTTCTTTGTTGTCTTAAAGCAAACATATATACCAACTTCTTCATATATTAGGTTCATAATTAAATAGTGAGAGGTGTTTAAAAAAATCTATCACATTCTTACGAAGACTACTACATATCATATGTGAATGTGAAAGAGTGTGTATCGTTTATTACTTTTGATTGGGAAGTATATGCTAAAATTCGAAGTAACTTTTGTTGGTGGGAATTCAAAAGAAAAAGAAAATTGACAACAAGTCATGTCTGATTTTTTTAGCATTTCATTTTTTTAAATTGCGGCAAAGTAATTTGGTAGATACTTGTTTTAGAAGCATCGGAAAAATTTTCAATGAATTAATTTTCTTAATGTTATATTAAACTATTATACTAAGTATTGAACTTGATTTTATAAATTTTGTAGTAATTGATTTTATGTACTTTTACTTGAAACAATCTTAAATGTTTTGAAGATGACGCGTCAACATTGTTCATGAAGAAGCTGAAGGACACATTAATTTATAGCCATGTTAAGTTTCCCTGTTGACCTGTGCTGCTTACAATGAATGCAAACAAAATACAGTACCGATGTGCACTAGTTCCATATTTTCTTTACTATTTCATTACAGAATTACGTTCATACAAGCATCACACAATGAATGCCACTTCCGACAATTAGGAAGAAAGAACGTTGAGTGTGGTATGAGAAGAGCAAAGTATCAGCTTTTTGGAGAAAACTGAATTTATTATTTAGACCAAATTGGCAAGATGGAGTCCTCTTCAACACCAACTATCTCCCTCTTTCCTACTGGTATATATACAGCCACTTCCTCACTGATTTGCAACTTCACATTTCATCATCAAACATTTATTTCTGAAAAATGGCTTCTGAGGAAACCTTAGTCATCCTAGGCCTTTTGGTCATGGCTTCTCTCATACCCTCTCACGTCGCTGCTAGGGACCTTGCTGATACTCACTCAATGTCTTCTATAACCGGTCAGTGTTGCATCCATCTTGCTTTCAATAAACTTTAAATGTGATGATGGCTTATTGCATTGTAACTTTACTAAAGTCATGGTAAAACTTGTGTTATGTTCCTCAATCATAGTTACTATTTCGTAAGAAACATATATTTGATTACCACATTTGTCCATGTTCCATGTGTTTGTAGGTGCGAAAAAGGACATGAGTGATACCAAACATGGAGAAAACCCAAGCAGTACCAGCGTTGTTGGGGTCTGTTCAACATCAAATTGCTTCGATGGGGGTCTTCCTGGCTATGGCAGCCCTTCATGGAAGTGGGGTACGCCTGGTGGTGCTGGTTATGGTGACGGACCTGGGGATGGTGCACATGGAAAGGACGGGCATGGTGGTGATTACGGTGTCGGAGCTGGAGGTGGTGGACCAGGTGATTATGGGGGCGGGCATGGAGGTTATCAACCTGGCGATGGTGGACCAGGTGAATACGGAGGCAGGCATGGAGGTTATCAGCCTGGCGGTGGTGGACCAGGTGATTATGAAGGTGGGCATGGAGGTGGTGGACCAGGTGAGTATGGAGGCGGGCATGGAGGTTATAAGCCTGGCGGTGGTGGACCAGGTGATTATGAAGGCGGGCGCGGAGGTGGTGGACCAGGTGACTACGGAGGTGATAAGCCTGGTAGGGGCGGACATGGAGGTGGTGGACCAGGTGATTACGGAGGCGGTGGACCAGGTGATTATGGAGGTGATAAGCCTGGTAGGGGCGGACATGGAGGTGGTGGACCAGGTGACTATGGAGGCGGAGGTGGAGGTGGCTATCCAGGCGGTTACGGTGGTGAGCCTGGCGGAGGTTACGGTGTTGGCGTTAAGAGCTATCCTAAAGACCATAATTAGATATTACATGAACAAGAGTGTGCTATGCTTATTTGAACACAAATTATTGCAACATCGTTTTACTTAAATAATAGTGTTTCTTCTCCTTTGGTATTTGTTGCACAAAAAATGTTTGAAGATATTCAAATTAAAAATGTTGTGCTAACTTAACCTAAACTCTAGATTGTTCTGCTTTGAATTTGTAAGGCTCGATATTCTATTATTATATTTATTAAATATTTTAATCGTTGATGGTAATAGATTATTATATTTGTACACAAGTCAACTTCTAGCTTCAACAGGCTTAAAATAGGTCAAATAATCTTATTATTATCTTATCATTAGGTTGCCGGTGAGATCCTTCGTTCAAACCCCACGTAACCCGCCACCTCAAATCACATGTATCGAAGCTTAGGTAGGTCATTTACAATCATATTATATTGAATCATTTCGTCCAACAATTATACTAATAATTAAAATATTCTTTATGTTGTATTTTTTTTTTTGAGTAATTCAATCACAAAAAGTGATTGTATACAACTTGAAATATCATCACGTAGAGTCATCTCACCTCTAGTGCTAATAGTGTAAAGTTGTTTGATCTTAAAAGTTCATCTATCATATGATTATGATTACCGTGTAGAGTTGTTTAAATTTAAAAGTTCATCGTGTAAAGTTGTCCAATATTTATAGAGTTGTCCTATCATAAAAAATTATTATATCAAATTGTGTCAAAATAATATTAAACTACACTAAAATCAATAAACAATTATCAATAAATATTTAATAACATATTTTATTTATTAATTTTAAAGTGAGACCTATTACCTCAAAATTTTATTTGGTTATTGAAAATTGTGCCGTTACGAACACGACGGCGAGCTTCACTCCTTTGAAATATATAAATATGTATATTTATATATTTAATATATATATATATATATATATATATAATAAATATATTTTTGTGTAAAAAAAACTAGCTCAAAATTCGATTCCCCAACTAATACTCTGACCCAAAAGTATGCTATTTCTGTAAATTTTTGGCACAATATCTTATATATTATATTTATGTCCAAACAATACGGAAAAAAAATCATAATTTGTTTGGTCTAAATATAAAATTCAATATATATATATATATATTATTAATTTCGCTCTTCATAGTACTTTTGAATTAATCCATTTTTGGTTATTTATATTTACCTTTATCTAAGAGAACATTTGTTGCTTGATAAATTTTTCATACTCAATGGATCCTAGTAGTCTATATTCTTGAACACAACTTAGTTATATTTGGTTGGTAAAAGATATTGGTGATAAGTTCCTAACAATTTGAACACTTCCATTTTTTTAATGATGTACTTTAATTATTATAATAACATTCAGATGCTTGAAATGTTGTTAATCATATCACAATAACAGTAGTTATCAAAAGCAAGAAACATGAATCTCACCAGTAGCGGATCTTGATCATTCATCTTGGACGGACCAAATAATATATTATTAATAAATAATAAATAAATATAAAATGAAGTAAGAAAATGAAAGGATAAAATTATAAATATATACTTAAATATATTAAATAATCATTAAGTTTGAGGGAACAAAATTATAAATTATATGAGAGTTATAAAAGCTGAGGGGCTGGAGGGATAAAATTATAAATATACAAGTAAATATATTAAATGTTCATTAAGTTTGAGAGGACCAAAATCATAAACTACATGGAAGTTACAAAACTTTAGAGGATCACAACCTCTCTCAACTCCCAAGAAGATCCTACTCACCAAGTCCTACACCAACTACTTTTTTCCTAAGATGTAATTATAACTAAAGATTATCAATGCATATATGAACAATAAAAAACATTGAAACTTTAACCAAGAGTTGTAACTTCAATAAATCGATCTTCCTTATTATCTTAAAGCAAAACCTATACCAACTTCTTCTTCATATATATTTACGATTAGGCTCATAAATTAAATAGTGATAGGTGTAAAAAAAAAACTACTACATAATATGTGAATGAGAAAGAGTCTGTATCATTTATTACTTTTGATTGGGAAGTATATGCTAAAATTCGAAGTAACTTTTGTGGGTGGGAATTAAAAAGAAAAAGAAAATTGACAACAAGTCTTGTTCTGATTTTTTTAGTATTTCGTTTTTTAAATTGGGGCGAAGTAATTTGGTAGATACTTGTTCTAGAAGCATCGGAAAAATTTTCAATGAATTTTTTTTTTAATGTTATATAAACTATTATACTAAGTATTGAACTTGATTTTATAAATTTTGTAGTAATTGATTTTATGTACTTTTACTTGAAACAATCCTAAATATTTTGAAGATGACGCGTCAACATTGTTCATGAGTCAAGAAACTGAAGGACACATTAATTTATAGCCATGTTAAGTTTCCCTGTTGACCTATGATGCTTACAATGAATGCAAGCAAAATACAGTACCGGTGTGCACTAGTTCCATATTTTCTTTACTACTTCATTACAGAATTACGTCCATACAAGCATCACACAATGAATGCTACTTCCGACAATTAAGAAGAAAGAACGTTGAGTGTGGTATGAGAAGAGCAAACTTTCAGCTTTTTGGAGAAAACTGAATTTATTATTTAGACCAAATTGGCATGATGGAGTCCTCTTCAACACCAACTATCTCCCTCTTTCCTACTGGTATATATACAGCCACTTCCTCACTGATTTGCAACTTCACATTTCATCATCAAACATTTATTTCTGAAAAATGGCTTCTGAGGAAACCTTAGTCATCCTAGGCCTTTTGGTCATGGCTTCTCTCATACCCTCTCACGTCGCTGCTAGGGACCTTGCTGATACTCACTCAATGTCTTCTATAACCGGTCAGTGTTGCATCCATCTTGCTTTCAATAAACTTTAAATGTGATGATGGCTTATTGCATTGTAACTTTACTAAAGTCATGGTAAAACTTGTGTTATGTTCCTCAATCATAGTTACTATTTCGTAAGAAACATATATTTGATTACCACATTTGTCCATGTTCCATGTGTTTGTAGGTGCGAAAAAGGACATGAGTGATACCAAACATGGAGAAAACCCAAGCAGTACCAGCGTTGTTGGGGTCTGTTCAACATCAAATTGCTTCGATGGGGGTCTTCCTGGCTATGGCAGCCCTTCATGGAAGTGGGGTACGCCTGGTGGTGCTGGTTATGGTGACGGACCTGGGGATGGTGCACATGGAAAGGACGGGCATGGTGGTGATTACGGTGTCGGAGCTGGAGGTGGTGGACCAGGTGATTATGGGGGCGGGCATGGAGGTTATCAACCTGGCGATGGTGGACCAGGTGATTACGGAGGCAGGCATGGAGGTTATCAGCCTGGCGGTGGTGGACCAGGTGATTATGAAGGTGGGCATGGAGGTGGTGGACCAGGTGAGTATGGAGACGGGCATGGAGGTTATAAGCCTGGCGGTGGTGGACCAGGTGATTATGAAGGCGGGCGCGGAGGTGGTGGACCAGGTGACTATGGAGGTGATAAGCCTGGTAGGGGCGGACATGGAGGTGGTGGACCAGGTGATTACGGAGGCGGTGGACCAGGTGACTATGGAGGTGATAAGCCTGGTAGGGGCGGACATGGAGGTGGTGGACCAGGTGACTATGGAGGCGGAGGTGGAGGTGGCTATCCAGGCGGTTACGGTGGTGAGCCTGGCGGAGGTTACGGTGTTGGCGTTAAGAGCTATCCTAAAGACCATAATTAGATATTCTATGAACAAGAGTTTGCTATGCTTATTTGAACACAAATTACTGCAACATCGTTTTACTTAAATAACAGTGTTTCTTCTCCTTTGGTATTGCTGTTGCTCTTAGACCAATTCTTATATTCCATTTTATCAAGTATGAAAGCTTAATTCAAGGTTAGCAAACTCATAGGTTTAAACTTTAAATTGATTAGACCACGAATTTTATTGTTGGATCGAACTTTGTATTAAAATATTTTCAAAATAAACTTGTATTATTTTCCTAAAAAAAAAAAAAAAAAAAACTTTCAATCCATACATAAAATTAATAACAAACTTTTGAAGTATACACACTTTTAGATCCCTTAATTCTTATCATTCATTGATTTCATCTTTATTTACATTTTCTTACAAATCTTTAAATATGAAACAATCTATTATAATACAAAACATAATATGAGGGATGTTTCTTGTAGATGCATTCATTTGTCATAACTTTAAATAGGCTTTGAAGTGGTTTCTCAACCCAATAATTACATAAGGAAGGCATGACAAAATATGATAAGGTGCTTTGGATTTTCGTATTAATAATTTTAAAAGAAATATGTTTGTTATATTTTTTTTAGATTAAGTATCTTAAATATACATAATATTCTATTAAATTTTAATTTTAATTTTTTTATAAATTTTTTGAACTTATTATAAAAAATCAATTTTAAATAATTACAAATTAATAATAATTAAATATATATATATATATATATATATATATATATATATATATATTTTGATAAATTTGTTCACAATATCTTTTAATATCATAATCTTTAAAATCAAATATATCGATTAGGGAGGATGACTTTTGACTCTTCGATTGAATCTTTCATGTCACGTGGTGTTAGAAATTAAGTCTCCTGCCATTGAGTTTTAATTTTCCTTATCCAAAACAATAATTATATTTATAATAAATTAATTTTGATATTTTTTATATATTTTTTATACACAAATAAATATTTATAGTCTAACAATATTTAATTATTTATTATTATTGAAAATATACTTTAATTTATTATATATATATATATATATTAAAATGTGTATATATAAAAAAAATAATCAATTTGTAGAACTCTTGTAATATTATTATTATTATTAAGTTAATTATTTTTTAAGTTATTATTTTGAAATATTTATGAATATGAAATATATAGTTTATAAGAACAAAATTAATAAGTTAATTCTTATTTAATTAGTTGAATCTAATAAAACTTTTAATTATTAATTTTTTTAATCCTTCAAAAATTAATTATTTTATTAAGATAAAATTTGATATATAACAAATAGGAATAATAAAATTCAAAAAATATGACATAATAAAATCTAATAAAGATAAATTAAAAATAAAATAATATTAGTTACTACTAAGAAAAAAATAACTTTGTATTTGTCAAATTGAATGAGAGATGGGAAAAATCAAATTGATTGAATATATAAAGAAAAATGTGAATAAATGAAAAGTAAAAGAAATATAATAATGTAATAAACTGATATTTAAGAAATTGAAAAAGATAAAGAATAAAATGAAAAGACCACGAGAAAAAAAAAGTAAAAAAAGGTGAAATAGCAAAAAAAACTTATATATAATGGGAAAAAAAAGAAAATACTTTCAAAATATTAATATTTTTGAATTTTAATTTAAATATAAAGTCGGGACGGAGTTAGGATAAGGATTGAATTACTTATCATAATTTTTAACCTGACCCTCAACTTTTTAAAGTATGAAAAATCTACTCTCATTTTTAGTCAATTCGATTTTTTCGTCAAACTCAAGAGAAAATAAGGACGGGTTGATCCCACGGATATGAATTTAATTGTCATCCTTATTGTCGATCACAAATTGAATTTCATCTACAATATCCTCGCTCAAGTTGATGTATGAAAATTTCGAATGTCTATCTTATCAAACATGAAAGAAAATTGTGCACACTCTAAAATTTTGATAAATATGTTACAAATTGTAAATTACAAGTAATATAATTTCACTAATTATATTTAAATCATATTCTCTTGAACATAAGAGAATGTCAACAACTTATTTAACCAGTTCTACTCTTAATATATATTTCAATTTTTCCAAATTTTTTATTTAAAAATATTTGCTTAATTAATTTTTGAATCATTTAACAACTTCATGATTGTTTTCATCATATAAAAATTAATTATAATATAAAAAATATACTATATAAGTATTTAACCATTTAAATTTTGTAAATTAGAGTTTATTTTTTCATTTATCATCTCTTTTCTCTTAAAAAAAATCAATTTATAATTTCTTTTGACATCTTTAAAACTCATCTTGTATTCTTTCCCCATATTTTAACATCAAAATATAATATCATAAAACATTCAAATAACTAACTAATTAATAAAAAATAAAAAATAATATCAATATTTCATAATATTATACTACAATACATATGTTAATTTGTTTACTATTTATTTATTTTAAAAAAAGTTATTGTGGAATATTTTTTTATTTAAACATTAAAAATATAAACTAAAAAAGTTACAATTTTTATATTATAAAGATAAAACTAAAAAAAATATAAAAACTAAAGAGAAAAATTTAAGTAAAACCAAAAGAAAAGAATATGAGAATGAATTAGAGACAAAAAAAATTGAACTGTAAAAAGGCAAAGTGCATCTCTAGTAAAAAAAATTGATGTAAGAAAATGTACTTAAAAAATAAACTTTCATTGTTTTTCATTGAGAAGGAAACAAAGAAAAACTTTCCCTTGATACATAAAAAAAATATAAACTTTCAATTGATACATAAGATTCATAGAAATCTTTGAAATTTTTGTGCAATTTTAATTTCACTACTACAAAATATACTTTCTACGTCATCATTTAACGTCGGTTCCCAGATGAACCGACGTTGAAAGTTGAATATTAAACACATTCTACGTCGATTTCTTAGTCAACCGACGTAGAAAGTACTTTATACGTCGGTTCCCATATAAACCGACGTTGAAAGTTTTTTTTATTATTTTTTTTCACCCAAAAACTCACTTAAATTTGAAAATTATCATTAGCAAGATTCGAACCTAGTACTTTAAAGTTGAAGACCAATACTCCAACCACTAAGCTACTAGAATTTTCCGATAATAACTTACAAATAAATTATATTTATATACAAATAAATATATATCCAGGTAAATATATATTTATTTGTATATATTTTCTGGAAAGTATTTTTATTTTTATTTTCAGCCAAAACTTCTCTTAAGTTAATGAATTGTCACTGATAGCATTTGAACCCAGTATTTTAGGGTTGAAAGTTAATATCCCAACCACTAAACTATTATAATTTTTTGATAATAACTTACAAATAAATTATATTGGTATTTTTCGATCGAGGGTGAAAGTGTGATTGACTCTTGCTTGAGTGAAAATATGTTAAAGCTCACGAAAATTCACTTACTCAAATCTCGCTTGAGCGAAAATTGATATTTTTCGCTTGAGAGCAAATAACGCGTTTCCCAAATTTATTTTATATCATTATATAAATAAAATTATAAAGATTATATTCCGTCATTAAATTACAAACTCATATAAAGATACCTGCTCACAAATTTAGTATCAAATTTTGAAAACCCACTCGACACACACTTTCACTTTCGAGTGTGCCCTCACATCCAATATATAAATATATAACTATATAAATATATCAAAATATATAAATATATTTGTATTTATATATTTATATATTTACACGGATATATATTTATTTGTATATAAATATAATTTATTTGTAAGTTATTATCGAGAAAATTCTAGTAGTTTAGTGGTTGGAGTATCGGCCTCCAACTCTAAAGTACTCGGGTTTGAATCCCGCCAATGACAATTCTCTTAAAAAATTAATAAACTTCTAAAAAATATAATATAAAGAGATGGAGGACCTAATAAAAATATAATATAAAGAGAGGGGAGACTTCTAGATAAATAAAAGGGGTAAAGGGGTTGTAAATAAATAAAAATTATTAATTTAAAAAATCATACTTTCAACGTCGGTTTATTAGAACCGACGTTGAAAGTTACAACTTTCAACGTCGCCTGATACAACGTCGGTTCAACAACCGACGTTGAAAGCTTTATTTGTAGTAGTATTCTAACATAAATTGTGGTTTCTATATTTTACAAAATTTGTAATCTTTGTTTATAATTTTATTTTTTATGACTTTAGTATCTTTTGTTTTAATTATTTGTAATTTTAAATTTACAGACTTCTAGGTCCCTTAATTTATCAAGTTACATTTAGTCACAATTTCTTCCTGTTACTGTCATTATCAATCTTGATAAAAAAAAATCATGAGTGTCACATTTTTTTTATATCATTAAAGTATCATATATAAAAATAACAAAAAGTTGCTGAAATTGAATGAAGTAATTAAAAATTAAGTTATCAAAATCACATAAAAAGTTTAAGGAAAAAATGACATATAATTAAAAATTAAGGGGCTAAAATTAAATAAAATAAAATTTAAAAACTCAAATTACAACTAATCTAATTTGTAATTGAGTACACATGTGTCGTTAGTACAAAACCAGAAAAAAAAAAAAAAACTATTGCAAGCTTTATTCCATCAATTTCTTTTGGATTCAAGTTCATTATCTTCTATACGAGGGAATAAATGTTGTTTTATGGTTTTCATACATATAAACTTTAATTAAATAAGAAAAAAAATAACTTAAAATATATTTTACTCTTCTAAAATATTTTTTTAATCTAATAAAAAGTAATATTTTAAATTAATGCAAAAAATTTATTAAAAATAAAATTAAATGATGAAAATTTATTTTTTGTCAAACAATTTAATTATTACTCCTGTGTATCCTCCAGGGTAATGATAAATTCAAGGTCACGTAGTTTTTATATAATTTCTGTTTGTTGAATGATTTCTTTTTTTTGAACAACATAATAATATTGTAGATTTTTTTTTCTATTTTTATGAAAACAC